AAATCACCTTGCGGGAACCAGGAAAAAGAAAGAAGCTGGAAGCCAGACCTGCTGATAGAGACAACGTCATGCGCCAGTAAGGCATGCATCGATGATTAGATAGAAAGAGTCTCATGCCGGTCATGAAGAGCTCACTGCTGAGTGTCGTTGCAGGATCTTGGGCGAATCGGAGAATAGACTGATTAGGTGATAAGAGGTGTTTTATTTGATCGTGGACGTCGTCGTAGCCCTTGTCATTATCCAGATGACAAGAGCACTAACGCAAGACCCGAGATGCTGCTTGATGGACAGCCTCCAGCATCTTCCCGCGGACCGCGGAGGGAGAATGATCGGTAGAATGGGCTGATGTTACTGTTCCTTCCCCCCAGCCCTGGCTCTGACACCTATCCCTACGGTACACCGCAGCAAAACCGATGTACCGCGGGGCAGCCCAATGCCCCGCCAGTGCGATAACAGAGGCATGGATGTATGTCACTAGTTGAGGGCAATCAATCGGTCTTGCATGAGACGTTGATCTTAGCCCAGCTGTCAAAACGGAAAATTGCGTCCCGATGATTGCTGCCAGCTGCCCTTCTGCCTATCTATCGTGGCTGTGTGTATCGGACCAGGTCGTGTGTGTAATGCTGGCTGGCTCACCGTATGTTGGTCGTTGCTCCCTGCAAGGCGGACCAGGGCTCTACTCGATGAACGCTCCCGACGCCGGCATGATTCAAGCATCAGTGACTGTCCGCAATTCAATTTCTGCCCAAAGCACAGCAGAGCGTTAACCCCCCTGGCCACTGACCTATCGCAACGATTGCGGGCAAAATAAACACACACGGGCAATGCAGCCGGCAGGGTAAACAGGCCAGGATCTTGACAGACGTTGTCAAACAGCCCGTCTATCCCGCCCTCGGTCATCTAGGGGATTGGCCAACCGCTGGGCTGTCCGTACCCAAGCCTGGAGGGAACTGCAAGCCCCTCCTTTCCCTCCTCTTCACCGCTTCCTGCCGACGCTCTCCCCCCTCCATTCATTCACCTGGCACAATCCCGCAAAGTTATTGCACCTGCAGGGCAGCAGCAGCAGCGCTGCACCTACACCGGTGTTACTCGAAATCTTTTCTGCCACTGCCAACAACTCAGGAGGCGGTCGTCACGGGCTCCCTGCAACTAGCCTCCGTAGCACTAGCCGTTGCTGCTAATCATCTCAGGGTCCCTCCCGATCGCCCAATGAATAGAATCGTCCGTGCTTCGTCCAGCTGCGACGGGTCATGTTCACATGATACGCAGCAGCACGTATGTACCTGCTAAGAGCTAGGCGCGTCGCGATGACATTTCACCGTTCATTTCCTGTTTTCCTCCGAAACGTCCGAATGGATATCAAGTTGGACACGACCATGGTCACTCGAGCTAAGACCGCTGACCACGGGGCATACACGGTTCAGTAACATCATTTCAAAGGACGCCATGCAGATACCGCCAGACCATGGGCCGTTTGGGTCAACTGCTACTTGGTAATTCTTGAAACCCAAAGACGATCCCCCCCCCCTCCCCCCATTTTGCTCCTCAAGGGAAAAGAGGGGTAAGCTCCATTTCACTGGATGCAAGAAATGCGACTCGAGATAATCCTGCAACAGCACGTTGTAGCGAAAATCATTCCACAAGCCAATCGGGATCCCCAAGGAACCTCTGGTATTGGCCTTGGAGACCCGACCCGACTTTTCCTCGTTCACGTCGACTCGGGAGACAATCACCCGCCCCTCCCTGCTGCCTCCTGAGATAATTGTTTGCTTTTTGACTTTGATGGCCAGGAGGAGACTCTAGGTAAGTCCCAAGGGTCAGACTTTAGGTTGCATCCCTCCGCGTGGTAGCTTTGTAGGGTACCTACCTACCCACCGTCTTAGTTACACTTTCGTTCGACCCATCCAGGAGTCTATCGTATACGTCCATGATACCTACGTATACCCCGGAGCGACTGGGGTCGTCGGGTTCCAATCCAGCGGTCGGAGTCACCGGAGGTTCCCATTTGTTTCTGCACCGGGGCCCTCCTCTTGGATGATCTGTTACTTAGATAGTGTCAGCGAGCTCAGCTGCCTGTCACTATCGCCCAAGTACTATGACGTCGTCTCCTGCTTCGCCGTGTCTTTTTAGTTGCCTGCGGTGGGTTTATTGTCCGCCCTTCCATAGTATCTTTCTGCTGGGTCGGCGGATGCTAATGGTCGATCGCCCGTATCAAAAGCGCCCCACTGGCCTATTCACAATGATGGTCAAAAGATCACTTGCAGCTCCCAACCTTCCATTGTTTTTCTTCCCTCTTCTTGACCCTCATTTGGCTCGCGTGGCTCCAGATCTCAACCGCGCTAAGTCAGGCACTATGAGATCCACAGCATGGTACTATTTACCTTATGCAGCGGTGGGTTATTGCTCGTCCCAGTACGGCAGCCGCCGTACGGTAAGTACTCAGTAAGAAGGTATTTCGGTGGGGAGGATCTGGAAAACGGATTCCAACCCTTTGGTCCTTCCCCCCCGTTGCTTGTAACCAGGGTGGAGTGCCCTTTAGCTTCCGGGCCCCATCTCTGCTACCGACTTTTTGGATACGACGGAGTAAATACGATGGCGGTTGGCCAATGGCGATGGGCGAAATCTCCAGGTAATGGAGAGGTAACAGGTACCGGGTCTCATCGAAATTCTAATCTTATTACCTGGGGAGCCTTAAGTAGGAGAGCCACGCGATTGGGAAACAGAAGCAACGGCTACTAGTCCAACTTACCCAGCTTACCGAGAAGGTACGTACCCCGTAACTGAGGGCGGAGGGGACAAGACACGGAGACGCCCAAGGCGTCGGGTGTCAGGCCCATTAGCCTCATACCATTAGGTACCAGGAACCTACTTTCGCATTACCCGCCCGTTTCATGTCTCAATATATGGAGTCGATGATAGAGGTACCCAAGCAACACGGGGAAATCTCAAGCGCTAGCCGTTGGACTAGTACTGGAGATGACGTCAAAGGAATCCGAGGAGGGATGTGTCCATACCTCCGCCATATCGCTCAGGAATGAGTGGAATGAACTGGTACGGAGTAGACGGGTCTTGGACAGTTGAACCAACATCCATCGGGATGGCCATCCCCCGTTCCGTCCGTCCATTGAGACCGACAGCGCAGAAGGAAGGAACCTTCAGAAGAGATAGAGTTCGCCTGATGCTCCAATCAAACATCCGTGATCACCTGCTGCAATGCTGCTTACCCTCCTCGCTTCTCGGGGCCTTCGATCCTTTCTTCACGAGTGCAGACAAGCCAGCCCTTGTTACTCATCTACCCACTGCTGCCCCCAGGATTCTCCAGGTACCGTAATGTTACCAATCAGCGTACGCAGCTAATATGGCCTTTGCTTGGAGCTGGGGAACGCATTAGTCTTCCGGAGCATTTGCTTCAGAAGCCGAGTGATTAATATTATAACATGACCTAGTCTACCTGGGGTTATAGGTGAGATTGGTCAAGTGGTTCTAACATGTAGCGTGCTTCGCGTACAGGCCACACGGCCGCGCTCGGGTTTGGTTAATCGATGGGCAATTACAAAGCGCCAGGGGATCGCTCTCCCCCAAAAGGAGGACTAATAGTTGCTTCTTATTAGTTATTATCATCCCACTTGCTAAGCTTAGGCTGACTGTATGAAAGGAGTACGAGGTTGTCTCCTTTTTGACAGGGTGATCGCACTAAACGTCAATCAGTATTTTTCCTCCCGATCTCCCCCCGTTTTTTTGTTGGCCCACCCCAAGTCAAGCGATGAAATAATAGCGTCTTTTCTCACCGTAAGGGCTGGGGGTCGATTGCTCACCTCCCTCTTGCCGCCAGTCCCATTATCAGTCCCACTTTGGCAAATGGAGGTGTTACTGCTGTGGCTCTGTGTACTCTTTCAATTCTCTGCCTGTCCTCCGTCTGTGGGCTTTGTTTCCCATTTTCCCCAATATTTTCTCCAGTATTTCCTTTTCCTCTTTTTTGTTTTTCCTTCACTGGTCTGCTCGTTCAGGTCATTCTCCAAGATCTCCTTTCTACCTACCCACTCATCCAACCCCTCCCTTTCTATTTCTTTTCTTTTCTTTTCTTTTTCCTTCCCTGCTCCGCTATATCAGATCACCAACCTCAATCCTGTCTTACTCTCTCGATTCCTTGGTTTGATTTGCCAATGTGTATGCCCCCCAAAATCTTGTACACAATTCACCGCTTGTTACCACTAGCTCCCTAAACAAGGCACCGCATTGAATTGTTGGCTAATTGCCTGTTGTAGGTCAAATGGGCAGGCTTTCCTAATCCGTAACATCGAGGTAGCTTCCAATTTTGTTGGATGTTGTCATGATTATCGTTGTTCTTTGTTTGTCCAACTTACTACAAGTTACAACCCACCAACTGTGGACCTTTAGCCTCTTGTTGCATACATATTTTTTGTAATTTCGGGAAGCGATCCCCTTTTTACCTGTTCCGTCGACTTATCAAGCATGAAGGTGGGAACCGGCTGGCGATTCCAGAATTCCGCTCCGGTGGATCAGGTCGTAGGGAGGAAGAGGGAGGGCGAGAGAGAGGGGGGGGGGGGGGGGCAGCACCGGACGGCTGCCCTAGTGTACAGCCGCACTCACCACTCACTTGCCTGGTCCATGATCAGACTTCCCCTTTATTGGAACTTGGGGGGCGGGATAGTCACTGTGACGGTCCTGATGGAAGGTGGGCTGGAGGTGCTGCTAGATCTATCATCTCATTAAGTCACACTAAAACCAGACTTCTGGAAAGCCGATCATCATTGCCTTACGGGCCAAATTAGCGCGCTTCTAGCTACACACCTCTGACTGTTCCCCGGAGCCCGGGGCTCAGGTCCATGGGTCTACCGGTCAATCTGCGGCGGCGGCTCTGGAATGGGGCAATTTGCGGTTTCTCGCTGTGTCTCTCGCTCGCCTTTTTTCCTTTTGGTTTCTTTTTTCTCCCCTCTTTTTTTATTTTCATTTTTTCTTTTCTTTTTCTTTTTCCATTTTCTCTTTCTAAAAATCCCCTTTCCAATTCTGCCCTGTTCATTTCCTTAGTTTGCCGTCCCCTTTCCCTTTTGAGGGTTTAGTGTGGTCTGACAGTAAGTAGGTCTGGTTGATGGATACATTTCCAGCTCCGATCTCAATCTGATCTTCCCCTTATGACATTTTTTTTCTCTGAATTGATTTGACAACGACAACGACGACAATGATTCCTGACTATGACCAGGCGGAAAAAACCCCCCAGGGTGATCTTCCTGTGCTGTAAGGAATCGACGGCCATACCGCCTTTACTCGTACATGGGTAATCGGGCGGTTTTCCCTCTGGTTCCTGCCCTGTGCCCGGGCGTCTGGGCGTACGGTATTCCGGAACTGTGAGAATAATACCCAAGTTGTAACCCAAGGTGGGAGCGAACATGATGTATGCCCGTACCTTGGATGAAGGGTGTTTCTTCTCCTCTACGATTGGCTCCACTCCCATCGCGGATTCCGGTTCTGCTCTGGTGCTTAGGTTCTCTTCCTGCTGCTTTCCCTTCCGCACCACTACTGCTGGGCCATCGGTGGTGCCCCATTATTTTGGCTTGTTGCCTTGACGGCCGTGTCAGATGGTTCCGATCCATCTCTCGTTCCCTCCCTCCGCGTAGTCCTTCCGCATCATACCTTAAAAAATTAAAATCGAAAAATTGGATTTTTGAAAATCAAAATAATAATAATAATAATCATGCTAATAATGAAAGTGGATCCCGTTATTCCTCAGCTGTTTGCTGTCGACTGCATCCTGCATCCTTTTGTACAGCTGTAACCAAAATGGGCTTGCTCCATTGTCCCATACTATCTTGAACCGTTGACATTTTAGTCTTTTCGCCTGATCACATATCTACTTAATCCACTCGAAATACTTCATTTAATTCCCCTGCCCGTCCATATTCTCCTATTGAGACCTTCCCTCCCTCTGCCGTCTCTCTTAAATACAATCCTCTGCCTCCGCCGACTTCACTGTTTCCCTTTCCTCTCTTCACCATCCGCTGGACTCCGCCACTATATCTGCTACTTACCCTTTAGCCCTACTATCTACTACTGCCTCTTCCGTCTACTACGCGGAGCCTACCCATCTACCTCCCCATCATCACTGCTCCTGCACACCTTCAATTGGACGACACGGACCAGCCCTTTGATCCTCCTGCCTATCTTCCTGGGGCATCTTCCACCGCCAACGGGTTCCTCACAGCTCAAAGTTTGCGTCATTGGATTCCCTTGCAGTTACACAGTCTAGCCGTTTCTCGGGAATAGCAGACGGAAAATAACAACAAAACAACGGATTTTCATCATCGATTGACGACAGGGGGAAGAAATGTTAAACACCCTTTAACAGACGATTCCGCTTGCCTTCAATCCAGCGATCTTATCATCATAGCATTCCCTCCCTTCGGTTACAGCGGCCAACCCAGCCGAAGACACATTCCTCCGAATTCATTGGCCATTGGCCTCGCATATCATCTCGACTTGCTCTATATTAGCCAGGAGCACAGGCCGATATTGTTCTGTGTTTGATCTCCGAGATTCGAATCTATTTTTTTTTTTTTGTTGAGCGTACCAAGTGCGTGACCGTCCAACCAACATCATGTTCAAACGACCGTCATGTTTACAAGGCCGGCGGCATGGTGACAACCATGGTGATTGGTCCGCCTTTCCTGTACGCCAGCTCTTTGTGCTAGGTACGTCGCGACAATTTCTTTGCGCCCAATTTTGAACTATGATTGTGCCTATGGCAAATAATATGCATTTGTTTGTCATCGGCTCTTTTTCACATTTAATATCCCATTTTTTACTTTCTTTGGTTGGGTTCTGTGCACACCCCTCTCTCTTCTGCTATTGCCTGTGTTCCCCCTCCTCCTTTCCCCGCGCATTTCCCCTGCTGTTGGCGCGCCCAATGATGACTGACCGTACTATTAGCATTATGTCGCATCTGCGAGCCAATCGCATTCATGTCGATATTCCCCTACGTCTACCGGATGGTCGAAGCATTCCACGTGACCGACAATGATCGCAAGATTGCTCTGTATGCCGGCATGATTACTTCCGCCTTTACCTTTGCAGAATTCTCTGCCGGCATGTTCTGGGGTCGGATGAGTGACAAGATTGGCCGGAAGCCAGTTCTAGTCATGGGCTTGATTGGAACGGCTATCAGTATGATCGTCTTCGGATTCGCTCCCAACCTGGCCACCGCCATGGTCGCCCGGGCCCTGGGAGGACTGTTGAATGGCAATATTGGCGTGCTTCAAACCACCGTTGCGGAAATCGTTACCGTCAAGGAGCACCAACCACGGGCATACTCGATCATGCCGTTCGTCTGGTGTCTGGGGTCGATCATCGGACCCGCTATGGGCGGTGCGTTGGCACAACCATGCGACAATTATCCTTGGTTATTCCAGCGTGACACCATCTTCGATCGCTTCCCGTTTCTGCTGCCCAACCTGGTCTGCGTTGTCGTCCTGGTGTCCGGAATCGTCGTTGGCTTGTTGTTCTTGGAAGAGACCCATCCGGAGAAGAAGCACCGCCGCGATCGCGGCCTGGAGTTGGGCAATTGGCTGGTTGGCAAAGTCTGGGGTTCTTCCGAACAGCTTCCCGAGGGCCCGGACGCCAAAGCGGAATTGGCCGGAGACGAGTACTACGACTACGACGACGATGTCCCGCCCCCGGAGTATAGGAGCACCGAAAGTTCGCCTCGCCTGAGCCCAGTGAAGGAGTCGGACAACCTGTCGGCGGATGACGACATTGAGGGGCAGATGAAGGGCGAGCCGTGCGGCGTGCCCAAGGCCTTCACCAGGCAAGTCATCTTCAACATTGTCGCCTACGGCATTCTTGCATAGTGAGTTTCCCCCCTAGCTCTGCACCATCGCTGCTCCCCTGATACTGACGTCGCCGACAGCCACAGTGTCTCGTTCGACCAACTCATGCCCGTCTTCCTCAGCACTCCCAGGTCCGACGGAGATGTTGATCTGCCTTTCAAGTTCACGGGTGGTCTGGGAATGGCTACGAAGAAGATCGGGTTCATGCTTGCAGTCCAGGGTGTTTATTCCATGATCGCCCAGCTCTGGCTGTTCCCCTTTGTCGTTCGTCATTTTGGCACCTTGCGGGTGTTCCGCTTCGTCCTGCTTGTGTGGCCACCGCTCTATCTCATGGTTCCGTACCTCATCCTCCTTCCCGAACAGCTTCAGACCGCCGCGGCATATGTCGCTTTGATCAGTAAGATCACGCTTCACGTCATCGCCTTCCCTGCCACTGCTATTCTCCTCGCCAACGCTGCCCCATCCTCCAAAGTGCTTGGATCCATCAACGGCGCAGCCGCCTCCACAGCCAGTCTGAGCCGCGCTTTTGGCCCAACGATCACTGGCCTGCTTCACTCGAAGGGCCTTGAGAGTGGGTACTCGGTGCTAGCATGGTGGGCGTGTGGAATCGTCTGCATCCTTGGCGCCATTGAAAGCTTCTGGATGGAGGAATCGGAGCCAGAGAAGGGCGTGGCGGAGAAGAAGGACGAGTGCGATGGCCCGACTTCAACCCGGGATTCACTGCGGGGCTCCTTCACTGCAGGCAAGGAGGACGGCACCGCAGAGGAAGTGCGGAGATTGCTCTCTTCGGCGCGCACCAGCCTTGATGACTTGGACGTCCCCCACGTGGACTTAATGCACGCCAACCTGAACGCAACTTCTGAGCCTGAACCCGATACATCCAGGCTTGACGAATAGACCTTGTGCTATTTGTGTTTTATTATCTAGGGAGGTTCTATCGCTTCTCCTGTTTTGCTGGGCGGTTAATTTTCCGTTGTTTGGATTCGCATTGCCTTGCCGTTGCCATTTCATTTTCCGCTTTCTCTTTTTTCTCTGTTTCGGTCCGTTTTGGATCATCGTCGGTGGTACAGCCTGATCTTTCTGTTTTCGCACCATGATTTTCCTTTCTCTCATCATGTTTTAGATTATGATTTCAGGATTGGGTTGATGGCGCAGTGTATAGACTCGGTGCATATGTGACAAAAGCATGAGGGCTGGCAATTCTGTCTTTCTTTTGGGGTTACCGCGGGGATTCATTGGGCACACATGATTTCATGCATCTGGGAGGCTCTTTGTCATTATTGTTACATCCAAATTTCCGAAGAGGAGAATTGATCCAGTTGTTGAAGGGCAGGAAGAGAGCAGCATCTCTCCTCAGCCTTATCATTTTGAGACATCATATCCTATATTTATCCGACGGTCCTCTGTAGCATCCGTATCATATACGCTCGCCTTTCCTCCTCTGCTCAGTCGTCGGGTCTGACTTTTCGTCGAGGCTCTGACGAGAGGTATGCATGTTCCCCCTCTTCGAGCCAGCCAAGTCTTGCAGCTATGCCACCTGTGCCTCCGACCTAGTGCTTTTTGCGTCATCCGGTAGTGCGGGGGTGCAGATGGGATCAACGGGGGGGATGTGGACGGGTACCACCCTATCCACTCGCTCTAACCCAGCTCGATGGAGAACCCTCGACGTAGTGGATTTTTTAGACGGTCAGCTGCTGGGACTTGGGCTTAGTGATATTGCCTTGATAACTAGGACATAGGTAGTAGCAACTAGCAACAGGTCGTACCTTTGGACCGGTGGCAGGCGCTCGGATGACAAATCTCACCGGCGCAGGGCCCCAGCTTATCAGTAGCCAATCAGAGTATAGCTGCTTTGGGCGGTGTCACGTGGAGACACTGGTAACGGGAAGTTGTATTGTCACCGTCCCGGCTTGGCCGGCCTCAATGAGATCTTCCCTTGAGCATCGACCGGTCGACTGAATCGATTTTCATCTAGATCCAAGTGCCCGGTGTATTCGCATCGTCATTCAGGTCTTCTACGGGGCCTTAATTGCTGGCCCTGCAGGGTCAATTCAGGAGTGCCTCGGTTTCCCCATCTTGACTGGTGACTGAGGTCCGTACGCATCTTACTAGTACTAGTGCCGGATGGGGGCACTAATCAAGATACTAATTGTTCCTACCTAGGTACCGGACCCAAGGTGCTTTCCAGAAACTCCACCAAAAATTGCCCTATCTTGACTCCCATGCTTGCTTTTTCCTCTTTTCCCCATCAGTCGTTCTTAAGCCGGCCTTTTTTTCGCCCCCAGCCTCGTTCATCCGTGTCCTCCTGTGGTGACCGACTTCCTCCGTCATGCGCTGCGACTGTGCCCTGCCGTTCAGATAAAATCGCTTTTGGTCCTATCGGGTCGGGACACCAACGAAAAGCCCGAGGATCGGGACAGCACTGGCGAGTCAGCTCCCCGTCGAATCGCTGTCCCCGGATATCGAAGCGGATAGTCCGGTACTCGATCAAAGACGCAAAACTGAATCTAGCGCATGGCTTATCATGAATGCTGATTCGTTTCTGGGTCTCCGGTTTACCACCCCCGCGCCTCGCTTGACCGATTGCAGAATCCCACCCTCGAGACATGGTCGCACGTCTGCACTGCTCCTCATCGTACCCTTCTCGTCATGCTGAACCCTGACTCTCCACCATCGCCGGCCTCCTCAGGGAGGAAACGACCGCACCCACCCACCGAACCCGCCTCGATCCCGCCAGAGCCGTCAGCGCAATCTCAGCCGCCGTCGACTAGCGACGGCCCCGCGACCCAATCCCCCAACCCCTCGACCTCCAATTCCTCATCCTTCCGAAATGTATCCGCCTGTAATCGTTGCCGCCTACGGAAGAATCGTTGCGACCAGCGACTTCCACGATGTCAGTCCTGCGAGAAGGCTGGCGTCCGTTGTGTTGGATACGACCCGATAACGAAGCGCGAAATCCCTCGCAGCTATGTGTACTTCCTCGAGGCTCGTGTGGCATATCTGGAGAAGGCTTTGATGGATCATCAGATAACGTTCAAGGACCCAGTCGCGTTCGACGAAGAGGAAGCTGTCAAAGTGGAGGCAGGCATTGACACTGTACCAGCTCCGGTGGTCGGTTCGGAAGGTTCTAATCCAACAGGAGGCGAGGGGACCAATGCGGATGGAAACGAGAAGTGGGTCACAAAGGATAAAGATGGTCTCATACAAAGACGAGACAAGAGCGACCGCAGTGGCCAGGATCCAGAGAACCAGGACCCGCACAAGGAAGACAATTGGCGCATAAACAATCTCGTTTCGAACATAGGCATGGTGTCTGTACAAGGAACCTCGGATCCCCGTTACTTGGGCTCAACATCCGGTATCTCCTTTGCGCGCGTGGTCTTTGCTGCCGTCAAGAGTTCTGTGCCAGGGAATGTTGCGGAACGTGGCCCAATGCGCCCCAATGAACGCCTTCCACATAGTGCTACAGGAACAGGCGGCAGTAGCATGCGCGATTCCTTCTTTGGTTTACAAACAAGGTCGATGATGAAATGTGCAGCGTTCCCGGATCGTGACCTGGCCGAAAAGTTGGTCAATCTCTATTTCGAACATGCAAATCCACAAATGCCCATCCTTCACCGGGCGGACTTCATGGAGATGCTTGATCGTACATATTCGCTAGAAGAAAAGAACCGCTCCCCTCGCAGTCTTTACATTCTCAATATTGTATTTGCTATCGGTGCTGGGATTATATTCGAGGACAGGCCGTCCGACGATAAGCAGGATGGCCGTGACCACTCACCATCTTCATCTACTTCCAAGAGGCCGCGGCTATCAAGCCATCAGCACCAACCCGAAGAGTATCATGCCTCCGCAATCATTCATTTGGAGTCTTTCCTGGGTAATACTGCATCTGGGGACGGGTCCGGTGCTCTGGAAGAACTACAGGCAGTGCTACTTCTCGCTAGTTTTGCCCTTCTGCGACCCGTGGCGCCTGGACTCTGGTACATTGTGGGTGTTGCTATGCGGTTGGCAGTCGACCTTGGACTGCATTACGAAGACGGGACCGACATCGATACGCTTGAGGAGGAAGGGCTCAACCGCGCACAAAGCAAAAATGCAGACAAATCGAAGACGCGAATTGATAATCGGGAGCTTGGGCGTCGGGAATGGGTCCGCGATCTACGCCGGCGATTGTGGTGGTGCGTCTACAGCTTCGACCGTCTCGTCAGCTGCTGCGTTGGCCGTCCGTTCGGAATTAGCGACCAATCTATCAGTACCGAGTTCCCGTCTCTACTGGAAGACAGATTTATCACAAAGTCGGGGTTCGTGACTCCCCCCGAGGGTGCTCCTAGCTATAAGCATTCAGCCCATCATTACTTCAAATTGCGGCTGCTACAGTCCGAAATCCAAGACGTGCTTCAGCATCAGCAAGCCCGGTTCATCAGGCAAAGGGCCCCATCTGCTGGCCGGAGACATATACGACCTGACATCACCTCTCCCTTTCTTCAAGGCTTCGATTCCTTCCGATCTTGGCGCCGGGATGTCCACAGACGGCTTGTTGAGTGGCAACAAAGTGCACCCACGCGTCGCGATACCGGGGTGAGGTTTCCTACCGAATTTCTCGAATTGAACTACTGGCAAGCTGTGATCATGCTTTATCAGCAAAGTTTGACAGTGCCTGCTGAATTGGCAGATGAGATGATGCCGGCCGAAGATGTGTCGAGTCCATCATTTTCCAATGTGGACGACGCGGAAGATGAAGATGACATATACTATAAGGTAGCAGAGGCAGGACAAAAAGTGATCCGTATCTACCGGCAGATGCATCGGGTGCGGTTGGTCAACTATACATATCTGGCGACGCATCACATCTTCATGGCGGGTAGGTTATCTGCAGCTATAATGTGTACCACTACTAACGCCTCTAGGCATCTCCTTTTTGTATGCGATCTGGCACTCTCCTCTGGTGCGAAGCCGTTTGGTATGGTATCCCTGAACTATCTTGATTTTTACGCTCTGCAGAGTATCTCTAACCGCCTGCAGACCCTCGACGAAGTGGACTTCACGGTACTTGCAGCCACGTCCGTACTCGGAGACCTCATGCACAAGTGCCCGCCTGCAGAAGCCTGTCGTGATGCGTTTGAACGGATGAGTAAGGCCACGGTTCAGATGTGCCTTACGACCACCGGATTTGGCTCCCAAGTTGATCTGCCCGGAGCCCAAGCTGAAATCGCACGGAGACAGGCAAATGCCCTGCAATCAAGCCAAACCAGGCAATATGGAAGAGATATACGACAGCGTGCATCTCATGGCCCGCCCCGGCGGCAAGCCCCCCAACGGCCATCGCGACCATTGCCACGGTTTGACATGAATCTGGGTGACCTGTTCAACGATAATACTGCCGTTCCAGAACGGCCCAACAATGGCCCTAGAATTCCTGGACCGTACCCTGTCCGACCAGACTATCCCGAACCCTCTGCATCAAATTTCCCCCCTGAGCGGGCGATGCGGCCGCATCCCCCGCGAACGCCGTCTATGGAATACTACCCTCCGTATGAGAACTCCGTGTCGCCACAGACGCAACAACACCCGCAGTACTACTACGGGAACTCCCCGCAACCCAGCGCGTCACCAAATAGCGTCGGGGCCAACCAAAACCCTTCACAGTACCATTCGCCGGAAAACGACCACCCGTCCGGTCTTGGCCTTGATTTCCTAGACTTCGACCCTACCGCCGCTGAAGGCCAACTGCCTGGGTCCGACGAAAATGGTGAGTATAATCTCCAGGCGATGCCATCATTAGGACACGGAGCCGGCCACAGTGTCGGAATCGACCTCGGCTTCGGCATGGCGATGGATTTCCAACATGATTGGAGCGAGAACGCCAATTACGACATGCTACAAGGCTACTTCTTCGGTGGGGCTGGGGACGCACCACCGGGGGAAGGATAGGATGGGTTGGATTATGATGATATTCTTTGTCTATAGTTGCATCCTTTCCTCTCTTGTGCTCTGGCGGCAAAAGAAAGGAACGGGATCGGATGGATGACTTACGAAACCTGCCTGCCTGTACATGATTATATCATATTATATTCTCAAGTGTGGTCTTTGCATCCCTTAGCAGACAGTGTCGATAGCATGTAAAAAGTACAGTCTGGTAATCGATAATCCGGACGAACACTCTGTCGTTGATAACAGCTCGCTCCGTAGCGGTGGGGTTCCCTCTCGAGTTGAATCCGCGTCTCCAAGCGAAGGTATCCGCGGGGACCGTCACAGGAAGGTACACGGAGGCGGGGGACTGAGGAGGAGATGGAACGTTAGTGGAGCCAAAACGCACAGCAGTGCAGGAGGCAGGGACCCTAGGAATTGATTCAGGTGCCCATCGGTTTCAGCAAGAGCTAGTAGACTTAGCAGGCAGCCATTCTGCCTCTAAACCTTCAGGGGGGGACGTGCCCAGCAGAGAGCAACAGTGAGGCCAGGATGGATAACCAAATTGGGCAGCAAGAGCCGTTCGCTTGAGTTGGCCGGGACTCCAGCGATCGATGGATCCGTCCGTCAGCCAGGAACCTTAACGGTGGGCTGCAATACCTCCATCTGGCCCATGCTTCTTCGTCGTGGTGACGGTCCGTGGGCATGTCGGACAGATAACATGATGGAGGTGGTCGGTTTGAGTTCTTGGAGGTCTTCTCCGCTGGATGTTTATATATATATATATATGTTTGGTCTTCAGGATTTCCGGGGTATTAAGTTAGGTATCAGCCTTCCTCACTACTAACTGCCGTACTAAATCGAAGCGCCGAGGCTGGAGATCCGTCGAGCCAATCGGCGGGGCGCTTGGGCCACGCGAACCTGAGGCAGGGCAGTTAGCCTCGATCATCATTCTTCTGCGTCGGCAGTCATAACACTCGGAAAAGGCTCGTTCTTTCTCACAGCTTTTGTCTTTCTTTCTTCTTCTTCTCCTTCTTCCTCTCGTTTCGGCAGCAACAGCGACTTGGATCGGGCGGTCTTTGTTTCTTTTCCCCTTGTGCGTGAGGATCATGTTGCGCGCAGCCTGATAGGAAAAAGTTGGTTTTGTTTGGAACTCTCAGCGATCCAAACACTCAGCAACACCCCGTGGGAAGAACGGTGGTTGACACCGCAAATGTGCCTTTTCTTTGCTTCAAGTACCTCCCCCAAGCTTTAGATCATTCATTCTAACCAACCAGAGCTTGCCAGCTAACCAGTGAAACGATCGCTCCTTGCTTGTCGTCCTTTGTACCCCCCCCGCAACCTCACGTTTTCCGGCTCCGACCGTTGGCTCGATCCTTGCAGACATCTCGATTTTCGGTTCCTACGATTGGATGTTGTATTTGCTTTCCTGCTGCTTCTTCTCGCAAAGCTTTCGTCGACGTGCAGTGCTCTACCTCCTGTGATAGGTCATGTGTACAACACAATTGGACCTTGGCGCGACGATAGTGGTACACGCTCATTTCACCAGATACAAGTGATTCCGGCATCCGCCCCTCTCTCAAAATGGTGAAGGCGGACGTGCGGAGGGATTACTATGCGGACTTGGGTCTCACGCCGAGCGCAGAAACCGATGATATCAAGAAACAGTTCCGAAAATTAGGTGAGGGGTGGTCGTAGGGTGGGTGCGTGGTCATGCGAGGCCTGGCTGACGGTTGTTAGCTCTGAAATACCACCCGGATCGGAATCCTGGTAAGGAATTGGAGTTCAACTCCAAGTTCCAGGCCATTCAGGCCGCCAATGAGATTCTCAGTGACCCCCAGCAACGGCTGAGATATGACACGGATCGGTTGCGCGCTGGCTACGGAAAACTTTACGGACCTCCCAAAGCCAACACGGCTCGAAAAGCACCTCCGAACCCCTACGCCTCATATTCTCCGAAACCTCAGCCCCCGAAACCTAGTTCGTTCTCGACACGGCCCCAGTCTTTCCACAGCAGTCCCTCTACTGGTGCCCAGCGTTATGCGAGCTATGCACGGGCGGCTCCGAAACAACCTTGGGAGAAGATGCAAGATGAGGGACAGACCCGAGCCGATGCATATAGGGGATTCCAGGAAATGAAAGGCAACGCGATGCCGGGCGGCTGGTCTTCCTTCGACCCCCGCACTGGGCATAGCGGCGCAGGATCTAGATCCCACGCCACCGCCAATGGGCAGACACCAAGGCCCAAAACGGCCTACGAGTACTTTAAGAAGTCTCCCAAGACGACTAGCCCCGAACCTACTCGTTCGCAGTCAACGAGGAAGAAGCAAGGATTCGCCCCGCGGGCTGCTGGTGGCGACGAACCCATGGCCGCAAATACGTCCGCCTATACGAGTGGGCCCCGGGCGGATCGCTCGCAAACGCCAAATTCATTCTACGCTCCAGCTCCGTCACCGACGGCTCGAAAAGCCGCGGCAGCTGCTCGGGCCGAACATGCAAGCACGCCTGATTTTGAACGAGCAAGCAGTCGATATGCCACTGCCGGTGGGGAGCGAACGTTCTTTTCAAGCGCTGGACTCGGACGTTCTGCCAGCATGCGTGATGCTACTTCCAGCCCTCAGCCCCGTCCGAGGACCAACCCGCCCAGCCCGACTCCTCCTGAGACTGGAAGACATCGGAGCGCCAGTCCAAAGCTGAAGAGGGACAACAATCGGAATTATTCTTCTACGAGCTCAAGTGATACGGAAGATGACTTTTTGACGCGCAAGCCCAAGGCGGTCCCTAAGAGCAGGCTCCGCACCCATAAGAGATTCAACGACTTGCATACCGAAGATCGGAACACTGGAACTGGTAAGCATTATCATCATATACTGGGTTGCCGTCTGTGCCCAATACAGAGTAGAGAAGTTCGAGCGGGTATGGTATCTAGCTGCTAACCAAGACATTTAAGGCCCTGATCCTGCGAATACTGGTCCAACCAAGAATGTATTCGATACGTCTGCATTCTTTGGAGATGGAAGTCCCCTAAAAGCGTATGTTGAAATTGCTCATTAGCCATAGTCTTAAGCTAACTCGAGATGCATAGTTCTGGTGCCCCCAGTGCGGAAGCGAACACTCCGAACAGGAACTTCAAGAGCAGCAGTCATGAGCAGTTACGGCAGCCATTCGCTGCAAGGAGCTGGGAACACACCGATTTTTTCGGTACTACACAGTCGGATAAAGAATCGCAAGATACACGTGCGCGCGGGCGGAGTGCGGATCGAAACATCTTTGACCGAACAGAGCGTTCTGGTGCTTCGAACCTCGACTCCGCTCGTTCAGAGTCGGGGTCGTCACAACAGCCAACACCATTTGCCCAGGCCAAGTTTTCTGCCGATGCTTGGATCGAGGAGCTGCGAAAGACCAATATCTCATGGAACCTTCCCACCAATGACAGCTCCAAAGCCAAACCGGCAACCGCATCACAGCGCCAGAAGAGTCCCCGAAAGCCAACCAGGTCTACTGCCCGACCCCGGCCTGCCCCGCAACAAGCCAGTGTGGCGACAGAGGCCGAAGAAGCACAGACGACCATGAATGGGGATAACAATCAGGAGCCAGCCAAGGCGGGTGACGCTGATGCCGAAGCCATGGATGTTGACGCTTCTCCGCCTGTCAAGGCCACTGGACCAACTGCCGAGCCAGAAAAGACCGGTACTGAGCAGAAGGGGATGCCACCGCCGAAATTGAAACCGTCTTCGCGGAGGAGAGCGAAGGGGCACAATTCGAAGTCGTTTGATTTGAAAAACCTTGGCAGCACAATGCCCTTCACGCAGAACAACAATGGCGGCATTGACGACTTGCAGGACATCCATGCCACGCTTCCATTTGAGTCCCGTCCCAAGGCTTCTAGGACAACAGTGCGTGATGTCCGCCCCCGTCAATTGTCCTTGCCGAACCCACCGAAACGGCCGAATCCACCGGAACTGGTTCCCATCAGTGCGGGCTCCCAGCAGCTTGGGATGCCTCGGGCTGCGTGGGAGCGCTACGTGGCGGAGATGAACACCTATATGCGCGAATGGAACCGATTCAGTCGCAGTATCCTACGCCACGTGAATGCGCGCCAAGAAGCCATCGAGTCGGGTATGGCTCCAAACTGGGTCAATGCCGTTGGAGACTCGGTCCGCCTGAAGGTGGACTCGCTGGACCAAGACGAAGGGGAAAATAAGGAACCCGAAGGAGACGAGCTCGAGGATAGCATGGTGACCGGCAACGCTAAAGCCGGATTCAGCGCCTATATCCGTGCATTCGATGAAGACACTACGGTCATGAAGCACTGGGAAGTCGCGCGGGAATTGCACCGGGAATGCATTGTCAAACTGGGAGACACGCGCCAATGGATTCTGGACGGCGGCAAGTTGATCTAAAGAGAGAGGAGCATGGCACGATAGGCGTTGTGTGACGGCCGATTTGCATTGGAAGGGCGTTGGCGTAGGTGGCTACTCTATTAAGGCATTGGAGGATGTTATCCATGTATCATAGTTCACTCATGGTCATGAACTCATTCATCTAGCAACCCTCCCATAGCACCCTACCAATCCGTGACCCCCAGGGCCCTAGCCCCAAGCCCCAAGCCCTACCCCGATACCGGCAGGACCTCTCGCAGCCTGAGGCCCCAAGATACCGAATACGGCTGACCCCGCGGCGGGGAACACGACCGGTACCGAGCAATACGGGCACTGCGGTGTTTCCCGTTCCCCCCAATCCCACACCCCCTCCTCCCCCAACCGGGCCCGCCCAGTGGCGGCCAAGGGTTACGTACGGTACGGTAAAGCAACGCACCGACCGGCGACCCCCGACGGCCTGCGCGTGCGCCGCCGCATATATCGTTTGTCTGCCCCCCTTCGTCTTTTCTTTTCTTTTTTTCGGATTTTGGTTCTTTGACGGTCGCGATCTTTTTCGCTGCTGCTCCAGTCACCGCGTGTTTACTTGACCGCTTGGTGTTCTTTAATCCATCCTTACTTGACTTACGGCTTACGGCTCACGGCTTTGGTCGTTGGTTTCAATCGTTGACTCATCCCGCATCAACCTGCCCCGCGTTGTTCCGTTTGAGTGTCCTGGCGACGATTGTCATTGACGTTGAGATTCGCTGAGTGGAATTGAAAGCTGCAGAATTGAAATCTTTTGTGGCTGGTTTCTTGATATCTATTTGAAATCATGGGTATCTCAATTGTTCTGGGTAGTCAGTGGGGTGATGAAGGTGGGTTTGATTCTTGCACTGTTTGATGTCGATGGGATTATGGCAATGTGCTGATGTCAATGGTATAGGAAAGGGGAAGATCACAGATATGCTTGCCCAGGAGGCTACGCTTTGCTGCCGTGCCGCTGGCGGCCACAGTAAGAACCCCCCCCCGCCCCCACTTTGTATATGTGTAGCTGGATCCGTCTAACTTGACTAGATGCCGGTCACACCATTGTTCACGGCGACAAGACCTACGACTTCCACATCCTCCCGTCCGGTCTCGTCTCTCCTGCTTGTGTCAACTTGATTGGCGCCGGTACCGTGGTTCACGTCCCCAGTTTCTTCAAGGAGCTGGCTTCTTTGGAGACCAAGGGGTTGGATAGCGCCGGCAAGCGCATCTTCATCTCCGATCGCGCTCATGTTTGCTTCGACCTGCACTCCGTTGTGGATGGTCTGGAAGAGGCTCGGCTGGGTGGTCGCAAGGTGGGTACCACCGGTAAGGGTATTGGTCCCTGCTACAGTGACAAGGCGGCCCGTCGCGGTGTCCGTGTGGGGGAGATCCTGGATGAGGCTCTCTTCGAGCGCAAGCTGCGGTCTTTGGACGCTGGTTACCGCGCTCGATTCGGCGAGCTGGAGTACAGCGTGGAGGAGGAACTTGCCCGTTTCAAGGTAGGAATGACCCATTGTGTAGTGGACTTGGAAAAGCTTTCCAGGAGCATCTAACAATACCAGGAATACCGCCAACGTCTGGGCCCCTACATTGTCGACCAATTGGCCTTCCTGCAGAAGTACAAGGATGCCCCGAATACCTTGGTTGAGGGTGCCAATGCGCTCATGCTGGATCTGGATCACGGTACTTACCCGTTCGTGACTTCGTCGTCGACCGGTCTGGGTGGTGCCGTCCAGGCCCTCTCCCTCAACCCTACCAGCATCTCCTCCATCATCGGTGTGGTCAAGGCCTACACCACCCGTGTCGGCTCGGGCCCTTTCCCCACGGAGCAGCTGAACGAGTCCGGTGACAAGCTGCAGAGCGTTGGTCGGGAGTTCGGTGTCACCACGGGTCGTAGACGCCGTTGCGGTTGGTTCGACATGGTCCTGTGCCGCTACTCCCAGGCCATCAACCACTACACGGCGCTGAACCTGACCAAGCTGGACGTGCTGGATGACTTTGACGAGATCAAGGTCGGTGTGGCTTACGTTCTGCCCGACGGCACTCGCACGGAGAACACCATGCCGGCCGATCCGGAGGTGTTGGAGAAGGTGCAGGTCGAGTATGTGACCCTCCCCGGCTGGAAGAGCAACACCATGGGTATCAAGAAGTACGAGGACCTGCCGGCCAATGCGCGCTCTTACATCGAGTACATCGAGCGCGGCCTGGGTGGTGTCCCTGTCAAATGGATCGGTACGGGTCCGGCTCGTGACCATATGATCTGCCGTGAGTAGATAAAGGTTTGTTTATTTCTTTTATAATATCCTGGCAGGTGTATTGATACCGGTGCTGTCGTGGTAGAGGTAGAATATAGATAAATGGATATATGTTATCTTCCACTTTTTCTGTTAATTGATCGTATCCTTTCTATGATGCTCAGACTACACTCTCGGCATTCGGGTAAGGATGTAGATGCCTCAGGCAGATACCAACACAAGCAGTGCCTGCTGCACACATCAAGCATATCAAACAATCTGGCAGAATACAGCTTGTCTAGGCCACAGTTCCAGTAGTTTATATCCTATTCACCTAGTATGTACTTCGTCCACAGCACTGATATTATTTCCCGGCTGTCGGCCAATCTCGGCTGGGCGGAGCAACGCCAACCAATCAGCGCCGCGCCAATATGATGACCGTATTCCCGATCGGACTCCCGAGGCAGTTCCATCCTAGCGACTCCGTCAACTTCACCTCAGGCCTGACTTTGTCCGTGTAGCGTCCGCATCGCACCTCATCCCGCCTACACCATCTCGCCCGCAACCATGGCCTCGATCGCGCGCCAGTCTCCCCTCCTCCGGCAATCCTGCCTCTCTGCGTTCCGCGCTCCCTGGGCGACTCGTAATGTCGCGCAGGTCGTGGCTTTTCATGCTTCCGCCAGGAAGCAGATCTTGCCTCCTTTGCCTCGTGAGTTGCTTGCTGTATTTGATGGATTGAGGGATGGGTTGCTAATGGCTTGCAGAGACGATTCAGGGAACGAGTATGTATGCCTTGTTGTTTGGGTGCTGCGTTGCCTGGTTTTCGAGTGAAGCTGCATGATGGATGATGGATGATGGATGATGGATAAATGGATGGATGGATATCAAACGACCAGCGACTAATTGATCAACTCTCAGTGAACGACCCTGCTCCGATCCCTACCTCCCACCCCACTGAGGGCAGCTACCACTGGACTTTCGAGAGGTACACACCACCTCCCCCCAGCAATTCATGGTACTTTACTAAAAACAATAGACTCGTCTCCGCCGGCCTCGTCCCCCTCTGCATCGCCCCCTTCGCCGCCGGTTCCATGAGCCCCGTCATGGACGCCGTCATCTGCTCCGCCATCGTCGTCCACTCGCACATTGGGTTCCAGTATGCCCCCTCCCCTACCCCCTCCTCTCTCTTCCTCCTACCTATGCAATGAATATTAATAAAGAATAGTGCCTCCATCACCGATTACTTCCCCACCCGTCGCGTCCCCAAGACCCACACCTTCATGATCTGGTTGCTTCGCGCTTTCACTGTTGGTACGGCCGTCGGGTTGTATGAGTTTGAGACGAATGATGTGGGTGTTACGGAGGCGATTCGGCGGGTGTGGAAAGCCTAGCCTACCTCAGTTCAGTTCAGTTGAGTTGAGTTGAGTTGAGTGGTTAGGGGATTTTTTTTAGTTTGGGTTTAGTTTGGTGTCTATCTGTCTGCCCGCGGACTTGTCTGTATATGTTTGTTTGTTGGGTTTTTTTTTTCCGCTGTTGAAGGGCAGAGGAGATAAAAGAGTAGAGGAATATACCTGTTTATCTTTCACTGTATTTGCCTTGGTTAGGGGGGAATGGTTTGGGTCGTAGGTTGGGTATGGGTATGATATGGGTATGGTACTCTATGCATAGTTATTATAGATACAAACAAACCATCCAACGCCAGCGTCAGACCCAATTACCAAGACCTAAGTATCTATCTAAGGTATATCACTCCTCCTCATCCTCCCCCTCCACATAATCCTCCTCGACCTCCCCATCCAACAAATCCTCATCATCCGCCTTCGCCACAACCCGTTCAATCACCCCCAACGTCCTCCTCAACGGCAACCCCACCACATTATCATAACTCCCCTCAATCCTCTCAACCAACACACTCCCCAACCCCTGAATCCCATACCCGCCCGCCTTATCCGCCCCCTCCCTCGTCTTCACATACGCCAGAATCACCTCATCACTCACCCCGCGATCAAACCACACCCTCGTCTCCTCAATCCAACTCTCCAACGCATACCCCGGCACCCGCGCACTCGCCAGCGGCGCCATCCCCACCACCGCCGTGTAGACTTTATGTTCGCCCGCGTCGCGCAGATTCTTGAGCATAGTGATGTGGTGGGCTTCGCTGCGGGGTTTTTCCAGAATCGACCCCGTCGAGGTGTCCACGATGATGGTGTCCGCGGCGAGGATCACGGCTGGTTCGCCTTTGGGAGAGTCGATTTCTTGCGCGTACACGGCTTGCGCTTTTTTGGTGGCGGTTTGGAGGACGTATTCGTAGGGTGAGAGGGTTTTGGGCAGGTTTTCTTCGGTGTTGGGGGGGATGATTTCTATGTTGGGGAGGGAGAGGAGGGAGAGGATTTGGCGGCGGCGGGGGGAGGTGGAGGCTAGGATGAAGCGTTTGGTGCGGAGGTGCGTGAGGACCGGGAGGGATAGGGGTGGGGGGCGCGGGAGGAGAGAGGCTCGTTTGTTGGTTGTTGTGGTGGTTGTTGTGGTATTGGAGGGGGAGTAGGCGGGGGGTGGGTCGGTGGAGGGGTCCGAGGAGGATAGGAGGGATTGTTTGCTGTCGGACATTTTGGAGACTTTGCTGGTGGTATGTGTGGTGAGGGGAGAGTTGAAAAGGAACGGGTGGTGTAGTATGGTGTGGTGGTTATGGTTGTGGTGGTATATGTGATGGTGGTGAGAAATTGATAGACGGGCGGTGAGGCCCGGCAGTTGATAATGCAGATAGACGTGCCATATCATTGACATGTGAACGTGTTAAGCGTTGTGCTTATTCATGTCATGCTGACTGCTTAGAAGATGATCATAATTTGACAGTTGATGTCTTGATGAATAGAGTAAATACTCTTAAGCTGTAGCTGCCTACAGCTGCAGCGTAGCACCTACAAACATAACGGTGCCCTCGCTGCATTGCTAATAACCCGAACTCCAAACCCAGCTGCTCTATGCAGAGCAACTGCCGGACATGTCCTATCCCTCCAACGCCAATAGTACTACCAAGTACTCGTAGAAAACCACCTAGCATCACACCATAAACCTATCATCGCTGATCGATCAGCTCAACACGCCGGACTTTTAGTCGTATGCATCATAATCAGTTCCGAAACGAATCGTCAATGCGCCCTCCCCGTCGCTCAATCTCCGCCATCAACTCCTGTCGCTCCTGCAGCTGCAGCTGAATAAAATCCACCGTCTTGCGCAGAACAATACTCTCACTGCGTCCCTGTCCCTCTAGACCCGGCACCAATTCCGTCAATCGATCAAAACCCTCCCGGATCGCTGCGCGCCGTTTCTGCTCCGACGCGATGTGATTGTTCTTCTTCTCCTGCTCCGTGAGCCGAGGCTTTTCCTTGTCTTGTGCGTTGGCTGCCGACGAGGCCGAGGCCGGCTTGGGGTTTCCGGTGGGGGTGGTCGACGGCGAACGGTCGTGATCGTGATCGTGATCGTCCGGGGGGTTGGTTGCGCCGCCGGTCAAGGGGGAGTAGGACGGTTCGGAGGAGCTGGACGCCAAAGAAGCGGGAGGTCGGGCAGATGGCATGGTGATTCGTCTGGATTATATATGTGGATGAGAGAGTGTGATTGTTGGTGTGGTTTATCCGGGGATTATCATGTGCTTGCGGGGGTTTCATGTGACAACGGAGAGGACAAAAACAGTACAGAACAGAACCGAAGGAAGGGGATGAAGGAAGGAAGGAAGGAAGGAAGGAAGGGAGAGACTGAGATATGTACACGCGAAGAAAGAGGAGGGGATCGCCGACCCCAGCACAGTCGGGGAGGAGACAAGGCGTCTGGACCAATCGAGCGGAGAACCATTTATGAGAGCTGCGGAGGATTGACTCGATCGCTTCAGGTACACCCCGGCTGGGATAACAGCGTTACAGACACCCGGGGGGGGGGTTTCACTTCACCGGGCACTAGCCACAGGAGAATTAGCAACCTTCCATAATCCAGAGGCGGACACCAGGTATTAATAGATCTGCGTGTCAAGACCAATCACGGTCCTTGGACAAATTAGCCTTGAGGCAGAGTGAAGCTACTGTCTGCTTATTGACTCCCACTTGATCTCGTTGGTAGATTCCAAGCTACCACGAAATATGCTTGATAAAGATTGTTAATGAATTCCAGATAATACCAGCAGCAAGCTAGGTAGTCATGATAGAAATGAGTAGTTAATAGTGATCGTACAACCATGGACCGTGGCAGTCCCTGACCACCAACTGGCCAGTCCGGATCGCGGCTTCACCCGCGTAACGTCATCGATCGTTCAGGTTGCTTCTAGATTCCCTCAGACATCTGCCACTTCGTCCATCATCATTATTTCTTCCTCCTCATTTCCACGCACCCGGGCATTGCTGCCTGCTTGCAGACGTATTTACAGTCTTGACTCTTCACTTGATCAACTCCAATCTATGACCCCACACTAACGCTGCCCACCAGTTACACAGCGAGCAGCGCTTTCAATCAACATGACCAGTGATGAACGTCTCCGCGGCTCCTGTCAGTGCGGGAGAAACCAGTACCAAATCCGACTCCCTGACGATGTTACCAATCATGCTCATGTCTACTTTGACACCAGTCGAGACAACCGTACGTTTATACCCCAGCTTCATTGTATAGAACCGCTCTAACCACAGTGTGATAGGAAGGTTTCACGCCGCTCCGCTGACAGCCTGGCTCCGCGTCCCTTTAACCTGGTATCAATCTCACACGCAGTCTTACTTCCCTGACGAAACACACAACACCATCCGTCGCATCTTTTCGCCGCACCATGCGCCACACACCCAGCGTGTCTTTTGCGGCTATTGCGGAACGCCCCTTACATACTGGAGCGAGCATCCTCGTGAAGAGGCAAACTATATGTCGGTGTCAATAGGAAGTTTATTTGGCGATGACCAGCGCATGTTGGAGGACTTGGAACTGTTGCCTCCCGAGTCGTCTGCATATTCTTCTGACGGGGAAAACGAAGTTGCGGACGATATGGAGGCTTCAGAAGGACAAGGGGAGGTTGTTGCCAGTCCGGCTGCAGCGCGGCAGGATGCGCTTTCATTGAACGTGGTTATCCCGTCTGAGTCGGCAATTTCACGGAGTTATAGACACGGCACACTGGGTGGAATTCCGTGGTTTGAGGAGATGGTAGAAGGGAGTCGACTGGGTAGAATGATGAAGACTAGACGTGGTGTTGGGGTCAGTGATGATCAGTCTACAACCTTTGAGTGGGAGGTTAGTGAGTGGACGAGCGATGGATCGGGTGCACGACACGTCGGATCTGCTGCCCAGGCGGCAGGGAAAAGAAAGCGTGGACAGCATACTAATGTGGAGGATATTGGATCTACCTAGGTGTCAAGATTCCAATATCTGATGAGTAGCAGACATTATTTCGAGTACATATTCCAAACAAATCACTTTTCGAAGGTCTAAGACCGAATCAAGCAGAATGAAGCATCTTGACGCCTGCTAATTATTGTAGCTAACATGGATGGAATGCACTAATCCACTTCTACTGGTCAATCCGGTACTGTCTACTTAAGCTTTAGGGCTTGCTTAATGACAGACAGGTCTATCATTCACACCCGACCAAAAAACCAGCACCCTTAACTGCCATAGACAAAGCTTAACGAAGCCACAAAGTAAATAACCCTAGTTGCCCAGTGCTCAGCCGTGACTCCCTTCACGCATCGACTTCCTAATTGGGATCGCCTCGCTTGAGTTGCCGTATCTTCATCAAACTGAAGGCGTTTGCCTGCCTCGCACTTTCAAAACACAGAAGACTTGTTCTCTCCTTCTCTTTCTCTTCTCTCCCAGAGCCATGGGGGGTGATTGTGGCCCGGCCCAGCCACCCTCCCTGTCTTTACCTATCTGTTTGAGTATCAAGGCGCTTCGAGGGCTATGCTATTAGGTTTTTTGAAGTTGATGAGGAACAGCACAGCTCAGTGTCGGACTGTCACGTCGCCCGCAATGGCTACATCGTGTTTCTCAAGACAAGTCTTGCTTGGTAGGCCTTCTCTAGCATGACGTTAGCTTTGCACAACTGACTCGAATAGCTGCTAACCTTGATAATAGGACGATCTCACGCGCAATGAGGTACTAGTACCGGGTTCTGTTTCCTCTTCACGAATCACCGCTATGCTAGGCAGACAATACCCACGAGAACAGTGGTTTGACAACCCTAATGGAAAGTCGCGGTCCCAAGTCAAGAGTCACATGTGACTAGTTTAACGACAACGACTCCTGAATGGAAAACAGCAGCGTATTTTGCTTGCACTCTGCCCAGTGCAGCATTTACGCTCGACATCAGGGACTTATTACGTCCAGCCAAACAGGACCTCGGGTATTGATCACATTCCCGCCCATGTCTTGCCTTGATGGAGGTTCCAACCAGATGCAGATCTCGTCAAGTCCTTTGTATACTTCAGCTCAAGATGGCAGCACCAGCCGTCATAATATGGAGTATGGAGTCCAGTGCTACTGCGTGGACGTGGTACATGGATGCTGAGATCGCGAAGCGCAACAAGGGTATCGAGACTCGGGTACTGCTAGAGGACCTTCGACGGAAACATCAGCAAGTTGCACGCAATATGCGAGGATACTTCAAACCGATGAGAGTAAGGCAGCTTGCACCAAAGATATGGATCAACTGCCTGGCGTCAGGAATGGCCTTTGCTTGGCTCCCGGACAGATTTCTCCACGCAGAAAAGCGGTTCCTCGAATGTGGCACTTGCAAGCATATGTAGTCTGGGGGAAAACGACAAGTCTTGACTAAAGTGGCTCCGCCTGTCCCAGGCTTCTGGGCCAATGCAGTCAACGTCTGACTACACGACCGTCCGAGAGTGTTCCTTGTCGGTTAGGTGTATTAAACGATGCAGGAACAATTCCAGATCTAGCCCAAGATATCACTTGCCTGACAGACCGACGGGACCGTCTGCCCGGCCACCAGGGTGGGCCTGATATCGAAACAGCAGCCCAGTGAATGCTACCGACAGTCCTTCGATGCCAATTTCTTGCTGCTCTTCTCAGATTCGCTTGTCCTCTGCAGGGAAAACAAGTCTTTGCATGGCCGACAAACCCAGAAGAGACAGAGACCCCCGAGGACTTCTTCCCCGTAACACCTTCTTTCATCCTCATCCTCTTCTCGTCTCTCGTTTCCGAACCATCGTCAATAGCTCGTTTCTCCCAACTTTCTTCTATCCTGCTCAGAGACACGTTCTCTAAACAGCTTTCCAACCACATCCGTCCTGGCTCTCCCATCTACTCTGCAAGAGCTCTCATTCCAGAAAGAGCCGACATCCTCCATCCCTCCTCTTCTCTCTCATATCCCAAACACATTGAACCCCGAAGCACATTCGTGTTGTTCATCCATCTACTCTACAGAGCCTCTATTTCAAGAAACACACGAACGACCTTCACTCGTTGTCTCCTATAGTGTCAGGAAGACCTTGAATTTCCTCACATCGTCTCCAAACGCTACGTTCTCTCTCTATTTCTGCGCAGAATAATCTCTTGTCTGAGGATTTCACATCTCGGCAAGCATGTCATCATCATCGAAGAAGGTTACCTTTTGTGAACCCCACGAGGATGCTCCGTTTGAGAGCTCCGGGGCCGAGAACCGCGATGATGGTCGTCAATTTTTCCAAGGTAAGAAACTCTTCAGCATTTAGGCTATTTTACGTTGGGCTCTATATCCATGTCCGAGTGGGACTTCTTGAGCGTGGTGATTGGGCCAGTGACCTTGTAACCTTCCTCTATGCTTCTACGTGTGCTCGATTTACTTGTTTCTACTCTTTACCATGCTCAAGGACCCTAACACAAAGACAAAAAATTTATTTGCGATGCTAATTGTCTTCAGGAGCCACACGTATTGGTCTCAGAAGAGGTGTCACACGCAATCAGACACCCTATCATTCATCTCTCCAAGACCGTCTCAGCCAAGATGAAGCCAACGAGCCGCGTGCCGTCTATAATGGCGAGTATCGGACTCCTTCGCAGCGCGTAACGCAACTGCCACATGGCCCAACCCTGAGAATCGCGTCTCTAGCCGAAGAGATCATAATGGGGACTGGCAAACGTTATCCGATCTATGCCGTCACCCAGCAGCCAAACTCTCCTTTTCGGCATCTTGGCCAGACCGAAAAGGAGAAAGACGAACAACACTCTCTCCGCCCCTCACCATCCACCTCAGCCGCCAGAGCTGCCGAGAGGTACCCGCCACGGTCGTCCTCCCTTCAAGCGCTGAACGAACTCCCCTTGCATGGAGAGCGCGGTGTAACACACCCCACCGAACACGTTAGTCGCGGTCATCAAACGACCACAGAAGAGACTGTTCTCCACAACCCAGCACCCAACGCCCGGAAAACCTTCAGCCTCCGTGGCATCATCCAGAAGGCCCGGAGCGGTGCGGAAAAGAGTCATATCGAGGCCACGACTGTCACAGAAAAGGGTCGAATCCCGAGCACTGCGGGACCGATCCGAAAATCGAAATCAAGAGGCAACATCAGTAGTGTTGAAAAGGCCATCAAAGGCATGGCGAAGTCTTCAATAAACTTCAGCAAGCCTAACACACGCAGCCAGATGACTTCACTTGGGGCTATATCAAACCCGACGCCTTTGCCGACTCCCTCGTTGTTGCAGCAACTGGAGAGAAAGCACATCGAAATTGGCCCCAGCCAAGACACGCCTGCCCCGGCCCGGGGTCGGCAGGCAGTGTCGACATTAGTCAAGGCCGCCAGTTCGGACTCGTTGAGACGCCATGTCGTGGCAACATCCTTTAGAAGCCCACACCACGCGAGTGCCGTGACCGCGCCCATCTCTGCCCCGTCTCGCCCAAGAGGACTTCGCAAACCAGAAGGCCACCCAACCAGAGACGCAAGTGTCCAGACCGAGCCACCTGCCCGTGGTTCGGCCTGGACCTGCGATGCACAATTCGATATCCTTGGTGAGGCCGTTTGCAGAAAGGTCCGACAAGCGGAGACAGCGGCGCAAAGAGACCGGTATCTTCAGGTAAGTTCTTGTGATGATGTCTTGTCTTGTGCACGTGGTTGACAATGTTTTAGTTGGCACTGGAGATGCAGAAACTGCTCAGCGACTATAAGCGCTCGGGAGAAGCAGTCGAGGAGGCTACTAAATCCCTCGACGACAAGGTCATTCAGAAAGAGATGATCGAGGCTGAGCTTCGAGCTCGCTCCTTACAATTCCGATCGATGATGGACGAGTCGTAGATTGTTTCTGTCTTTGGCTGGTCAGCGTGCTTTTTGTGAATTAAGCAGGGATGTAGAGATTGGGTTCACCTACACTGTGGTTCTGTCTGCTTTGCTTTCCTTTCCTTCTTGTCTCCTTGTCGTCCACACCGTCGTTGCGGACAGAAAAGAAAGAAACCACAAAAAACAGGAGAAAATGTAAATATGCAAAGAAAGGGATCTGCCAGTGCACCGTGATCACGTCTCCATCCGTTGCTTCCATGCATTTTTGTTTGTGGGTTCTCGTTCGTCTTCTCTACAATCTGTCAGATTGGGCTTACATGCCCTGAAGGACGCGGTATTTGTCAGAGGAGAACCCCGACCACAGGCATGATAAAATAGAAAGTGAGCCCAGGTGCTTGTGCTTCACATAATCAAAATGATAAACCAACCTAGCGGGGTACGATGATTGCTTGCATGACTGAGCATGAGCGGGCCCTGACAGATCCCTGACGTCGTCTAATGGGCGAGGGGCAGTAGTGGGTGGCACTGTAAATAATGCGCGTAAGTGTTAGAACAGTCAGATTTGTGCGAACAGGAGAAGAGAAGGATGACGAGCAAGCAACACAAGCGAGGAAAGCAAGACCCGAGGCCTCAGGCTCACTGTTTGCATGAGGTGCAGACGAGGATCAGTGAATGATGAATGGGGGAACTCAACCGGCTCCGACAAGCTCTTTCTTGACCGTGACAAAGTGTCAATTTCCCCTTTGTTACACTGACATTGTCGGTCAGGTTCCTTCCCTACGCAGGCTCCCCGTCTCTAAAGCTGTAAGTTCCTCGAAAGGGTCTCCGACATCCCAGTCGATTGTTCCCTTTTCCCTTTTTGTCCTTCGTTTCCACTATTTCCCCGTTTCTTCATCTCCTAGCAATATCCCACGTCTACCCATTATCACTAACACCATGGCCTTCCCCATGCGCCTGCTTCTGGAGTCCGAGGTTCGCATGACTTGGGAACCCACTCCTCTGAGCGCCTTCTCTGATCAGTTCCTCAGGACTAGAAAGCTGACTTGTTTAATCACACAGCCCCAAGCCGAAGGTATCATGGCCAGTCAGTCCTACAGAAGAAGGGGTGGCCGCAGTCGGCAGCAGGACGCAACCAACCTCGTCGGGAGCGTGCAAGGACCCAATAGGCCACCCAGGCATCATGCTCCGCGTCATCATGTCCCGTTCCGCCCTGAGTTTCCTGTTCCCAGTGGTGGCTATAGTCCTCCTATGATGCCACAGCCAACTTCACAGCATGAGGGCAACACGATGATTGCTCAGGCCATGCAAATGAATTACCAGCGGAGGGAAATGGAAAACTGGAACAGAATGGTCATGGATCATCGCCAAATCTCAGAACCTCACCCGGTGAGTATTCAATCTCGGGTCAAGGCTTTAGATCGGTGTTGAGTTTAATGTTTCGCTCTAGTTGTATCAAGAACCTCCTCTATCTCCCGATAGACAGCTCTATCCTGAGTTTCGTGGTAGTGGGCCCAGGGTATATTTCCCTCCATCGCCGGGTGGGGCACCCTATCATATGGGAGTCGGCCCTGCTGTAAACTCGGTTGGTACCTGTGGATATCCATTTCCAGCGATGCCGTCATCGATGCCTCCTGGATGCCCTGAAGAAGTTCTCCGAGACAGGATGAACGGAAGCAACGGAGGTGCTGTGAGGTCAACCCTTCGTGGAGATGCACCAGAGTTTGTCCCGCGCAAGAAACCCTCGGACATGAATCAAGTCTTGATTATCAGCAGTAATTGGCCAACGGGAGAGCAAGGACGCTGAGAATTTGACGACATTCCGGATTCTTCGGTTAAATAACTGCGTTGTTCTTGCGTTACAGATACCTAGGGCGGATTGTGTTCTTCATTCACGCTTGCTTCTCTCTTTGAGATAGCCTTCACGCATGTTGGAGCAACGTGGCAGGTTAAATATCTGGATTGGTTTCTTTGCTTGCTTTTACTTTGATTGCTGATCACGTTAATTTATGCGCTGCTGCATGGCTGGCTCCTGCTTTCGGGTTTGCGTGGGGCTAAGTAGGGTTAAGTGGGGTGGGCTCTCATGGCTTATTCTTGCTAGATAAACTCAGCTAATCAGCATGCTAATGGGAGTTGTTACACCCGTCTGATTTGTCTGGTGTCACACCTGGATGAATTGAAGCTATCCATTGGATGGAGATGCGTTGTGTGGCCGAGGATGTAAGGATGGCCTGTCTTGTAGTACTGGCGAACTGGTGGTCATCTGATTGAGGCGCTCTCGTTGCCATGGTTGAAGATAACCAAAGCAATGAAAAGAGGAGGCACTCAGATAACAAAACCACACAGATACACATATGAGGAAAATCAGTGCAAGTGGTGAAATAATGTGGCCTTTTTGAATCCACGGCGCATTCTTATCAGTCTCACAAATTCGCACTCTATCCGCTTCCCCTTCACCCTCTCGTTATTCTTCCGTGTCTCTTACTTAACCTCTTCGCACTATCACTCACGCCTTCATCACTCAATTCTCTGCAGCTAGCATATCTCCCATGATACCCATGCAAATATTCACCCCCAACTTCGATCTCGGCATCATCCACTCAACCAGAACACCTCATTAACCATAAACCAGACAAAACGCAAAATTGGTACTCTTACAGGTATTGATTGACACTAACTCAGAGGAGAAAAGATAACAGCATGATTCCAGATAAAAGTTTCCACTAGCCAGGATGTTCCCTGGTCAAGCTGTATATCGACAGCCACATATAGAAACTAAGGCGGGCAGTCACGCGTGCTTACTGCCAGCCCCTCACCTCGACAAACCCCTCTGCCAAAAGCAATATAGTCACTCACTATGGCTTTCTTATATTTTCTGTTTGCCCCTCCTTAGCACAGACACTTAATCAGCTTCTCATCTTACCCCCATCCAAGCAATGCTTCGTGGAACTGCGTTCATCACCGGTGCCGCCTCAGGTTTGTGCCTCTCCGGCTCCCACCTCACCCAGCTAACCATCCTACAGGCATCGGAAAAGCCACTGCTTATTCCCTAGCCCGACATGGCGTTCGCCAACTCGCCATCGGTGATATCAACTTTCCGGCGGCACAGGAAACCGCCGACGATCTCCAGTCCCAATTCAGCGATGTCCAAGTACTCCCCTTGAATCTGGACGTGGCCGACCCAACCTCCATCCAAAGAGCCATTGCAGAGACTGTAAGCCGGTTCGGACGCATCGATTATGCAGTCAACAGCGCAGGAATAGTAGGCTCTACAGCGTACTCGAGTGAGCATGACATCGCAGACTGGCAAAAGACACTGGACGTGAATTTGAACGGGGTGTGGATGGCTAGTCGTGAGGAGATCACAGTCATGTTAAAACAGGAGAAGATGGATGACAGGTTTGATCCGTTCTATAACTAAGTGGTATTGGTCGATGCTCATTCGAATGTGTTTGCAGTCCCCGTTCAAACCGAGGTGTCATCGTCAACGTGGCATCCGCGTATGGTCTCGTCGGCTCCACGAGCACTTTGCCGATTGTTGCTTACACGGCCTCGAAACACGCTGTGGTGGGATTCACCAAGGCCGATGCCATTACCTACGCACCTCTGGGTATTCGGATCAATGCGATTTGTCCGGGATATGTTGAGACACCGCTGTTGGCTTTATTTACTCCCGAGGGAAAGCAGAAGGAGGAGTCGAGGATCCCGCTTGGAAGGATGGGACAGGCGGATGAGATTGGGGATGCGATTGCGTTTATGTTGTCGCCGTTGAGCAGTTATATGTATGGCTCTGCGATGGTGGTGGATGGGTAGGTTTCTCTTGTGGAGTCCTTGATTATTTGCTGACAGTTGTAGGGGCTTTACCGCGCAGTAAATGATGTAGGATGGCAAGGCGATGGTTGAAATACTCTCGAGGATTGCTAGGTGTGCGAATCAGTAGAAACGAGTGTTGAACGTGGCTTAAAACTGGTCTCTCTTTCGATGTTGTTCATGGCAGGGCACTAATGCGTGGCTGACTCAAACGGGGCGCCTAAAGGATCGAGGCCCTAGATAAAGGGTTGGATCGCTGGCTCGCTGGCATGACACGACATGACCCCGTACTATCCTCTCTATTGCTTCTCCACGTTTGCACCCTCAGCTATTTATGGCCCAAAGGCTCGTATTAATGAACGAAGAGCGCTGCGGGTGGCCTGAATAAAACTGGAGCTGTCATGATCTGCAAGCTGACGTGCTCTTCCCGGTTCCCTCGGCCATCGGAGGAGCCAACCGGTGGCCTTGTCACTGCGCGAGTCAGATTGTGCCCGATCGAGAGCTCGATCGCCCACCACGAACCACTCTTCTTGGCTATGAAGTGCTAACCCGATGCGAGGGGCCAGCCCACCACCAGGGATGATCACTGCAATAGCTCAGTGGGGCGAAGATGCAAGTTCTCTCCCGCCCGGGCAATTGCTCAACACTGCAGTTCCACCGCGAACTAAACTCATCCAATCATACCGGTAGCTTCTGTACTCACCCCCAGCAGGGTTATCCAAAGTTTTTGTTTGCTCCTCCGACTATGTACGCCGCCGATATATCAAGTGCCACAGGCATTCCTATTTGCTGGTACTTTTCCCGGAAAGACGCTAAAGCCACACCACACTTTGCTATAGGGCAGAGGTAGACAAACGGACATGCCCTTTGGGCTCAGAATCCACCTGGTCCAACTTGCTTTTCCTTGCTCTTCTCGAAATATTGGGCATATAAGGCTATGGCGCCGCCCGGTTGATAATGCTGCTTGCCTGGTCACAGTTGCTGCCTTTCGACCACTTCTCGGGCATTTTCCTGCCATGCATCCCTTTCGTTATGGGCTGGCCTTGCTGGCATCAATCCTATGTCTGGTCTCCTGGGCCAATGGCAGCGGCCTCCACGTTCGGGCCACCGGAACCACGGTACGCTTCAATCTTACACTGACATGGGAGGACTGGGCACCGGCAGGTGTGCCCCGGAAGATGATCCTCATGAACGGCCAATTCCCCGGTCCGGCACTGCAGTTGCGGCAAGGGGATGATGTCGAGTTCCTGGTGCTCAATCATATGCCGTTCAATACCACCGTACACTTTCATGGTATTTATTTTCGCACTATGCACAATGGCTCAAGATAGCTGACACTTTATAGGAATCGAGCAGCTTGGCACTCCTTGGTCCGACGGTGTCCCTGGTTTGTCGCAAAGGCCTATCGCGCCTGGTGGCCGTTTCCTCTACAAATGGCGAGCGACAGATTATGGGAGCTATTTCTACCACGCTCACAACAGAGGCCAGATTGACGACGGCCTCTATGGAGCGATATACATCCACCCGGATGACTCGGTGGAGAAACCATTCCATCTGATCACGAATAACACAAGCGAGCTGCAGGCTCTGCAGACAGCTGAGCAGAATACTAAGCCTGTGATGCTTTCAGATTGGCGTGCACTGACTTCAGAAGAGGTGTGGCGAGGGGAGGAAGAGTCGGGATTAGACGCATACTGTGTCAATGCGATTCTGGTCAACGGGAAAGGCGCGATTGATTGTCCCGGGCAACAGGCTCAGAATGAGCTCGCCAGTGCTGCGCAGAAACAGATCCTGGGCAACCAGAGCCTAACTGACACCGGGTACGTGGATTCGCCTAAGTTTAACAATAATGAAAAGCTAACAGCGGCAGATGTATATCGCCCTATTTAGTATCCACAGAAGGCACGTTTCGTCATAACTACAGCGCTATGCCACCATCCATGTTTTACGGATGTGTTCCTGGAAACGGTGGGACTGCGCGCTTCCTGGTTGACCCGTCTGCCAATTATGTCAGTTATGACCTGATCAGCGCGGCGGGAGTCTCGATGATCACCTTTTCCATTGACGAGCATCCGTTGTATGTCTATGCCATTGACGGACGGTACATCGAGCCAACTTTGGTGGACGCGGTCACTATTGCCAACGGTAACCGCTACTCGGTCTTTGTGAAGCTGGACAAGCCAGCTGGGGATTATACCATCCGTGCGGCAAACTCTGGGATCAACCAAGTCCTCAACGCTACTGCAGTTTTGTCATACGACAACGCGATCAAGACCCAACAGGGTGCTTCAGTGGCCTCAATTGACATTCATGGATCGGTCGTCTCTTTTAACTACACCCTGCTGAATGAAAGCACGATCATGCCGTTCCCGGTGGAGGTGCCGTCTCAGGAGGTCGCGCAGACATATATCCTGCGAGTCGGTCACTATAATGCCTCCTACCTCTGGACCATGGGGAACTCTACCTTCCCGCTTTCCCTGGAGGCAGCATCGCCCCTACTCTTTTATCCGTCTACGGCTAAACCCGATCTCACGATCAAGACACTCAACGGAACCTGGATCGACTTGATCTTCCATGTGGATGGCCAGATCCAGCCCCCTCATCCAGTCCACAAACATAACAATAAGTTCTATGTCATTGGCCAGGGCAACGGAGCGTGGAGTTACTCGTCTGTGGCGGAAGCGATGCGATATATCCCGGAGAGCTTCAATCTCAAGACCCCTCAGATTCGAGACACATTTATCACCCCGGCTGCGGCGACAGAAAACACCTGGCTGGCGCTGAGATACCAGGTTGTGAACCCCGGTGCATGGCTAATCCATTGCCACATTCAGGTGCATCTGAGCGGAGGCATGGCGTTGGCGATCCTGGACGGGGTGGACGAGTGGCCGGAGATTCCCGAAGAGTATCAATTGACTAATTAATTGGTGGCTGGAACAATGGCGAGTGATGCTCGGGACACTTTTCATGTATCATAATTTGTCAATACCCTTCCTGAAAGAGTCGATGCATCCGTGGACGACGAACGGCAGGCGTAGGCAACAAAGTAAATGATGAGTCGGACCAAGGGTGTTTATATTCTAGAGCCAGTGCCCTGGGTTAATTAATTTCCCGACTTGATCTGCTTGATCGCAATAGGATGAGCCGGGCGAATCCTCCGAACTAAGTGAAGCTAAGCTGCGACGATCGCAAGGCATACTTGATCGGGTTAGGGGCACGTGGGCGCGGGGTGGCTACGCCTCAGGCATTGGCGCAGCAGGCAGCCTCATCGCCTCGAGCTCCTCTTTCATTCTTAATCTGCCTATCTATCGGAGAATTCATGTTCCATATCCCAAAGCTGGACGAGCATTCTTTAGCTCAAGATCTACCGAAAAATTATTGCGAGTCCCTCGTGTGCCAAAAAAGGGCCCCAAGAGTCTCGACCCCCTGAGCCTCGCACTGTTTACCCGATTCAGCTGCAGGTCTGTCCCCGCTTCTCGAATCTGGTCTGAGTGTATACTTACCCTGCCTTTTGCCTAGACCATAGCGCCGCCTGGAATTTCGTGCACGCCCCGCTCGCTAATTATGGTCTTCTGCGGCAAACCAAGCAAAGGCTGCGGCGAGTGCCGGTCTCGCAAGATCCGGTGTGACCAAGCCCGTCCAACCTGTTCACAATGCGCCAAGGGCAACCGCGCCTGCCCCGGATACCGCGACCAACTATCCTTGATGTTTCGGGATGAAAGTCAGCAGGTGATCCGCAAGGCACGCACGGAGGCCACGACACGGAAAGCCAAGTCTTCTAGAAGAAAGAGCCCCGACAGTGCGATCTCCCTCGGTGACGGTTGTGGCACTGCCGCTAGTAGTCCGGCCCCAGCGTCATCGACCACCAGTGATCTGCTGGAGTTCGATGAGCTTGTTTCTTTGGTCCCACAAAATTCCGAGCGTGATTTGGTTCGCGTTGAGGATCTCGTGTATTTCACCCCGCAGTATCTGGAACAGCATATCTATCGACATTCCCTTCTCTTGCAGCCATCGTATCAACCCACCAAAGTCGATGCCATCTGCTTCTTCCTGAGGCAGAATGCTTGGATTGGCTCGTTTTGGTCCAAGCTGGACGCCACCCCGGATTACGTGCTCAAGACAGCTACTTCCAGCCACAAGGCCATGATGGCTAGTTTGGCGTCCGTTGGAACGGCAATGCTCTCGCGTGTTAGGAAGTCAACGCAGTTGAGAATCGCCGCAGATAAGGAGTATGGACAGGCTTTGCAGCTCCTCACCTCAGCTGTGGCAGACAAACAGCAGGCTCGAGACAATTTCACGCTGGCGTCAGTGCTTATGCTGGCCATCTTTGAGGTGAGTTCCTCGACGTTGATGCTTATAATGATCTGACATGTGCCAGGTGGTCACCAGTAGAGGTGCACGATTTATCGACAACTGGACAAACCATATCAACGGTGCTGCAGCTTTACTAGAGCTGCGAGGCGTCGAGCAGCTTCAGGAGGAACAGGGGCTGCAGCTCTTCTTGCAGCTGAGGTATCAAATTGTACGTTTAGCTGGCATTGGCTCCTTGATGGCAAGATCCCGGCTAACTAGGTGCAGATCATCAGCTGTCTGCAAAGGCAAGCTAGAGTGCCCGACACTGTTCTCGAATGCGCTAGGGTTGCTATGTTTTTACGACCGCACTCCGTGGCCTATGGCGACCGCTTGATTACAACTATGGGCCGGCTATCCAATCTTCGTGCCGATATCAATGAAAAGGCCTTGACTGACCGGAAGAAGATGCTTGAAGAGGCCTACAGTATCGAGGCCGAATTGATGTCCTGGTTAATGTCTCTACCGGAGATTTTCGCGTACACCACTGTCGAAGACCCCAATCCTCGATTTGGCTGGGGTCCTCAGCCGTACAATAATCGGTATCACGTGTATAGCGACTTCTGGGTCTGCAACTCGTGGAATCAATACCGGATCGTCCGGATCATTGTGTGCGACCTCATCTTGACCTGTATCCGAGAACTAAACGCCGGGTCGCCACTCTCTCCCGATCTTGCCAATCATACCGCGCAGATCCGCAACACAGCCCGACAACTCGCCAGCGACGTCTGTGCCAGTGTGCCTTTTCATTTCAGCGATTCCGCCCTTCGCTTAGCGACCGGACTCAATGGCACAGGCGCCCTCGATGAGGTCCCCATCCAACAAGGTTTTATTCGCGGGATGCTACTCCTCTGGCCGCTGGCTATGGCGGGGGCCACGCGAGGGAAGCATCACCCGTTACGCAAATGGGTTCTGGAATGCTTCCACCTGATTGGCAATGACATGGGTATTGATCAGGCTCTGGCCTTGGTTGAGATGTGGAAGAACGATGAAGGTCAATTCGACACGTTAATCCTGCCAGAGGATAATGTCACCGTAAGCTCAGCCACCAATACCGACAGTCCATATTTCTCCGAAGCGCAGCTGGCCTGCGGGCCTGTTCCAAAAGCATATTCCACTCCAGTGGCGTGAGCCCAATGCGATGACAACCCAGTGCAGGCCACGTGGATAATTATGATGATAGATTCAGATCAGGATCAGTGTACATAATTGCTAAATAATCACTTAATGATTTATGCCAATCCCTTTCACTCTAAATGCCCATCTTTTACCAAGCCATCCATCCATCCATCCAGAATCTAGACCCAACGAGGCTGTGCACCACCAACCCCCCCATCCCGCAGTCTAAGCCTACCACCCATCATCCGGAACCACCCACCCTTCCACAAGGCAGTGCACGGCACTTCTCTGCGCGCCCTTGTGCATAATCCCCACCTCCACCTCCAACCTAACTAAGCACCTACCTAGCCTTATGAACGAGCACAGCCTCTTCTTCCAGAATCCAGACAGGCTCTTTCCATGAACTCCGATTGCCTGAGATGGAATCATCCCTGTCTGCAGGAGTGACGGTCCTTGTTTCCTTGTAAGGCGGTGCAGAATATTACCCCGCTTTCTCTGTTACTTGGTTCGTTCGCATCCCTGGAGAATACGCTAGGTGGGTTTGATATGCATCCAGAATATGGATGGAAGATGTACCGAAGGAGGAGTGGGTATCTAGTGGGTATTTAGTATCTCCCTTGCTTGCTTGGTATCTTCCCGAGGGGAGGGAGGGGAAGAAGGGAGGGGAGGGAGGGGAAGAAGGGAGGGGAGGGAGGGGCGCAGGACAAAGCACAACCGAGTAAACTACTATGAAAGTGATGAGTGATACAATGAGTCACGGGCGCCACTTCCCCCAATCATACTTGACTTTTTTCGGGGTTGGACAAGCGACGGTGTACGGTTTTCGGAGTAAGTCGATAGCTACCTATCTGCCTTAGGCTTTATTCTCTGCCTTGTGGATACGGCTCGCTCCGCTAAACCAATCCTGCTCCTGATCCTGAGTTTGTATGTGGTCCCATGGAGAATTGCGGATGGACCCTGGATGTACACCGTATACGACCCTCCACCGCTCTCTCCCCATTCCCATATCCATGGTAAGACGGACCCTTCCTACGCCATATAGGAGAGGGATCTGCCTTGGCAACGGGCTGTGCATGCCGCTTTTGTGGTTTTGGGGAGGGATGATTATTTAATGGGTTTGTTGGTGTGTGTGGTTGGGTTGGTGGGGTGATCGTGCTGTCATTGTTCACTCATCTGGTTTCTGCTTTCACTTGCATAGTACTTACCTACCTTGTGAACCTTACTTTGTGGGGTGTATAAGTATTATTGCTCACGTCGCTTCCTGTTTCGTTTTGTGTTTTGCTTTTTGACTTGCAGTATGCCTTTTCATTTACCGTTTCGTCGGTCACTTTCTAGACGTGGGGTGAAGAGTCAGCGAGATCAGGATCAGGATCTAGGTCAAGAGAAGAGCTTGAGTCAGAGGCAGGGTCAAGCTTCACTTTATCAGCAGCACGTGTATCAGGATCAAGATCCAGGCCCAGTGCCAACGTATCAGCTACTCGTTTCTCCGCCTCCAGATCAAGCCCAAGGCCAGGACGCAGCACCAGCATCAGCCGATATGGGTCACTCTCATTCTCGGCAAAGCCGACATATGCACCACTCTTCGCTTCGGAACAGAGACTCAAGTGCTTGGACGTCACGCTCACCCGGAAAAGCGCCGATGAACAACACTCAGACCCAGGCATCAAGTGCATGGGCTCCTCCACCGTATTCGTCACATCTTCCCGCACAATCCACCACCTCGACGGGCAGTGATACCCCGTATTCATTTCTGCGGGAGTTTGATACCATTTTCATCGTGGATGATAGTTCGAGCATGTTGTGGAATGGTCGCTGGAAGGAGGCGGAAGATGCGATTGCCGCTATCGCGCCAATTTGCACGCAGTATGACCAGGATGGTATCGATATCTACTTTTTGAACCATCGTCGGGATGGAGGGCGCAGGAATAAAGGGGGTTACATGAATATTACGACGGCGGATGATGTTCGCGAGATCTTTGGTAGTGTGCATCCGCAGGGCGCTACCCCCTTTGGACGACGCCTTTACGATATTCTTGATCCGTATATGCGGGAGCTGGAAAAAGTGATTAAGAAGAGTGATGGGTCGTGTGATTCGGCGCAGCTGATGAAACCGCTCAACATCATTGCTATTACGGATGGCGCGTTTACGGACGATGCCGAGAGTATCATCGCTGATGTCGCGGGGAAACTGGATAGCGACAAATACCAGGCCGTGCCCTGGCAGGTGGGGGTCCAGTTTTTCCAGGTCGGAAATGATGCCGCCGCCACGGCCTATTTACAGGAGTTGGATGATAACCTGGGGGAGATGCAGAAGAAAGGCCGTATCCGGGACATTGTGGATACTGTGCCGTGGAGGGGTGATCGGGGGCAGACACTGAGCGCGGATGGCATTCTGAAATGCGTCCTTGGCGCGGTGAACAGAAAGTATGATAAAAGGAACGCGTTTCAGTGATGAAGGGGATTGGCCTATTCTTCGTTTCTTTTGTCCCTTATTGCTAACGCTTTCGTTGCCTTCGGGGCTTTGCTTTTCTTCGGTCTTGGGGGGGTTAGCCAGGGCGAGTCTAGACTGCCTCCTTCATCTTGTCAACCCTGTCATTGTGTAACAGCGGCAGGATGGGAGTGAAACGCGTTGCAGCAAGCGCCCTGTTGCCGCCGGCTGGCCCGAGACCAGCACCCATATCGAGATAGACCTTTGTGACTGGTCAGGTCCTCTAATCGTAGCAATTTAATCGGCTGCTCCCAGCTTTCTTTGCTTTTCCAATACCGCGTAGAGGGTAATGATTGGCGGTTTCTCTAGGCCAAGTCCAGCTGTCGCTCCGGGTAGTCCCGCCAAATGGACTGCTCAGCTTGTGAGCAGGGGACCAATTGGCCGGTCCAGTCAGGAGGTAAATGCGAGGTGACAGCCATCTGTCAGACATGCTAGAGGCTAGGGATACGATTGACTGTCATTAGCCTCCGACTATTTGTTGTCCAAACCTTCAATTTCCCGCGGGACGATCGATCCTAGTTGCCCGGCACCCGAAAGTTTAAGGACACTGGTCGCAGGGGTGCATCCAGAGGCGCTCAGCAGGCCATTGAAATTCTATCTATATGAATCCAGGATTGGCGGATTGATTGGTTCACAGGCCGTTCCCCTGGGCGCGTAGACGCGCTGGTCCGTGAGGATGGATCACCGGCTTGTCCTAGACCCCTGTCCTAGACTCCTGGTGCTAGCTTCGTTAGTCCAAGGAAACCCTTGGGACGGGACACTTGACAAATCACCTTGTCAGTTCGGCTCGTGATGCCTCTGTTGTCTGTTGCAATCCGCCGGTCGTCGGGACAATGGACACAAATAGGGGACAATGGAGCCGGGGAAATGCAGGACGATGCAGGCGAGATGCATCAACAATGGTTGGCGGCTGCAGAGGAAGGATGAAGCGAGACGGCGACAGGTACGTGACGGTAAGATTGGCTCCCCTCGACCACCTGCGGGCCTCTCACGTGGTGTGGAGAAATGCGATCGGCGTGTATGCGTACCGTACGCAGTACGCACCCCCCAATTGCAACCTGGACAGGGTCGGCGCTTCCGTTGCGCCCTCTGCGACGGCTTTGGGCGTTCTCCTGGCTTCCACCTCCTGGTATCCTTTGGTGTCCCGGTGAGAGCATGCGGAACCCATTTCCGGATGGGAAAATGGACTCTCAAGGCTCGCTTAGAAGGTTGCGGTAGGGGATAGTGTGTACTAGTGGCTAGAGATGATCACCAGCCTCAGGTGGCAAAGCAGAGTTGGATACGGTACGGTATGGTCAAGGCACCAGCCACCGCAGCCGAAAGCGGTAACGCAGCGCCGGTCCGTCGTGGAATTTGCACCCGCCGGCGTCTCCCCAAGGATTCCCAGGCTCCAAAACAACGCTCGAGTCAACGAGTCAACCACCGGATCGGTTTCGTGGCTGGCTGTTTTTGTGATCCATCCATATTAATCACTCGGGCTTCTCTCTGGCCCCACCCACTAAGTTCCGACTAGACGGCATAGTGGTCCCTTAGGCTACGCTGGTTCGCCAGGAGGGATCAGCATCTTCCCAGTCTTTGGCGGGTGGATCGAATCGTCCAGGAACCATGTTCGGATCTCATCGCGTCCTTTTTTCACTAGCCTTCCCTGTGTTCCCTCCTGTTGCCATGAAACCTTTTCTTCGATCATCCTCGCTTGCAGGGGGAATCCCTTTCGTGACGTGGTTGTTGCCCTGTCCAGTGGATCCTTGATAAGCGCGCCGGACGAACGGTCGATTCAGCTGTTGAAATTCAACCTCACCGCGCACACTCCATTGATCGATTGGGTGACTATCTTACTGCAATTGGATCTGTCCCTGCCTTCTGCGCCTGAAGGCCGGATCAGCTTGGCTGTCACCGACCCGTCTGGACCACGTGTGGAATCCCTTAAGAAGCCTTGTACAAAACGTCCGACTCCGGCAGCAAGCGCCGCAATTTCTGCTCTGCCTCTCATCACATCCATCGCTGCAGTCTCCGCCTTGTCGGCGCTTCCTGCTTGCCATCACCTTGCATCATTGGCCGTGATTGAACATTGCAATCTCCCGACCAAGCAACCAAATTTAACTCCCGCATCTCCGCGCCTAATGATACAGTGATCTCCAACACTCATTGCCCACTGTTGGTGTCAGAACGCCCCTGGCAGGTTATGGCGCTGTGCCTTTGAGCCTCACTCGAATCTTATATTACTGGCCTTCAACCGCGCGGCGAAGCGCATCCTTTCAAGTGCACTGCTCGAGTCCTTCGAGAAACACAGCCCAACCCGGCTATCCGCCAATCACTAAGACGCTCCTTCGATTTTACGATCATTGACTTTGTCCTGGCTGGTCTAGGACTGTCTCTGCTATCCTTATATAAACGTGCTTTTCTTAGACTATTGCCTTTGCTTCGACTGCGAATTACTGTCACGATACATATTAATTGATATTCACTGCACACGATTAGCAACCAGCTTTACTGCAATCATGGCTTCCACTACCTTGATGACATTTCTTCTGTACGTGCGGTACAAATTTTTGATGTGAGAGTTTTCTAATTCATGGCAGGTGCACCAGCCCCCATGTCAAGTCGGTTAAGTTGCTGGGGTCTTGGGACAATTTCTCCCAGCCCTATATCATGGAAAGGGATAAGCGCGTTGGCGCGGGACAGTGGAGGGGATGTCACACCTTCTGTAACATAGTGTGTGACGGCTCGCCAACCCATATGACGCCCGCACGCTCTGGAGGACTCAAAATGGGTGGCACTTACTGGTACTACGTATGTCTTCTGACTTCCTTTCAGAGCATCGAACCTGACTTCTCTAGTACTTGTTGGATGACGATGTGGAATACTATAATGAGGCTGAGCCTGTGACCACGCACTGTCCTCTCCTGCCGGGTCAACCGGTCAATGTTCTCAACGTCCCGGTCATTCTCCCGGATACGTTTCCCACTCACACTCATGCGAGGAGTCCCAGCCTACAGAAAGCGGATCAACGAACTATGAATCCCGATGACAAGTACATGAATCCTCGAGAGCCGCCGAAGCCAAAGCTTCCTCGTCTTCGCACCTCTCCTCCGCTGTTGCAGCAACCAACCCCGGCTTGGTCATTCAGCACATCCCCTCTTGGTATCATCACTCACAGAGGCGCATCGCAGCCTAGTAGTGCAACGCCCAAGGCGAAAGGCCTGGATACACCAAGAGCCGCTGGGTGCAAAACTGCTCGTTCTGTGTCCCCGCCTAGATCCAGGGGTCTTCGCGCCGCATTTCGACATTGGAATGCATCTTCGCCGGATCTGGGATCTACGGACGAACATGAAGGCCATGCCTCCAAGCCTGCCGCAACTCATGGGCTCAAGGGCCTATTTCTTGGCAGACACGAGGAGCATTCCCGTTTTGGGGTTCACCTGGGTACTGCTTTCGAGCACTCTTCATCCATCGATCTCAATAAAGACTTTCAGCGCCCAGCAGATTCTCTACCTCAATCAGCAATATCTGGAGATCGCCGCTCAATGCCTCTGACAATCCAAGACCGACGAGCATTGAACTCAAAAGTTGCGGAGCACGGCTCGCCCAGGGCGCCTCTGACCCTGCAGGCAAAGCCCGGAAGCGGGGCTTCTGGGTACACCGCAACCCAGGGGACACATCTGAATGTTCGTAGAAGATCACTTCCCTTGGAATCCCCGTCCATCTTGCCGACAGCAATTGGGCCATCATCCGATTTCTCTACTACCCCGACCGGTTTCACTGCCGGAGAGAAGAGACTCCCAACGCTTCCAAATTCGCCATCATCAGTGATGGATGAAGCATTACGGGATATCGATGCCAGACAGAAGGCCCTTGATTTGGAGGCTCTAGGCAGCCATTTCTCGGATTTCACCGATACTGAGTCTGTCGCTGGCAGCTCCTTTTGTGAACGAAGCCATTTTTCCGAGTGGAGCGCGGATACGGATGTTCTATCCCCTGGGTCTATGACGTGCTCATTTGCTCTCAATCATGACGCTCAGGCAGCTTCCAATACTGAAGCCACTGAGACCATGGACTTCCTCACAGCGTCCATACCTGCCGAACTGAGTGACCCGGACACCCCTCATCTCACTGTCCACTCTAGATCAGCGGCTACCTCAGTCGCGGGCGATTCGCCTCGCTTGGATCTCCCTCTTCCTCGCCTTACAATCTCATTATCTCCCTCTGATCTCGACATTCCAGGTCTCTATATTGATGATGAGGATTGCGTGGAGAGCAATCCCAAGCGACACGCGGCCTTTTTCGGGGGCGATGAATCAATCAAGGGTCTCGGCCTTATACAAAGTCCCGACCCTTCTTCGCTGCAATTTTCTGAGGATGTGAAAGGCGAGACAGCAGTTCGCCCTAGCGAAGGAGTGGCTGCGTCCAGCCGGAATTATGACCGCTTCAGCAGAGTCTCATTGCTGGGTCAGTCTGCAGCGATGCGCGAAATGATGGACGAGCTGAGCTATCTGAAGACCATGATAGAATCTGGGTCCAGTGAAGATATCTGATCTTACTATGCGATGTACAATTGCTATATCATCCCTAGGTACTTTTGCACATGTGAACATGGAGAGTTTTTGTATATAATAGTGTTGCGTCTGAGCGGTTCCTAGAGCTTTGATCCTCAAAATTGGGAAGAAATGAAAAGTGAACATATACTTAACTCCTTATGATTTTTCTCCTCTAGAATACTTGTTTAGTACACGGTTTAGTGCAAGTGTAGCTCTTTAACCCAGACTTGTGTACGGACTACCTACTGTGCCAGTAGTAAAGAGTAGCCGCGGGTGGATCAGCGCGAGCCAAACCAACGCGACAAACACCCGCATGCCAAGAGTTCCCGCTATCCACCATGAAATCCAACCAAGACAACAACAGGACCGAACAGAAGGGGGACATTCACAGCAATTGATCCGATTCCCTTTGTAGAATGGGCTAGGCCCGAGCGACCAACATGGCTGACGACAACGGTTTCCAGCCAGCTCACGAGCCACAGCTCACGCCTGTCGGGGAGAAGTCCCTACCCGCAAGATGTAAGGCGAGCACGCTCACTTACTGCCCCACGATGGACCTCATCGCGCTGGTCACTGAGGACGATGAACTACGCGTCTTCCGCCTAAATGGACAAAAGGTTCTTGGAGGCTCTTTCAAGGGTGATCCGTATCTTGATGAGGATGATGGTGGTGGCGAGATCCGGGGGCTGCAGTGGAAGAATACTGGTAAGTCGCTACTTTCTTTGGTGATTAACCAGCTTTATGTCGCTATCCTGCTCCTTATTTCTGAGAGACTAACGGACCGGTAGGCCATTTGCTTGCGGTGGCTTGCGCTGACAACACCATCCGGGTCATCAGCGCTTACAGTGGTAAAACGGTCCACCATTACCCTGCTTATCAGTCCGAGGGTGAATCACCCCAGCCTGTTAAAGTGACTTGCCTAGGGTGGGGAGTGAATTTCACTGACAGCAAAGCCGCCCAGCGGCATTTACACGAGTCTGCTGGTCAAGTCAGCGTCGATGACTTATTGTCCCCGGATAATCATCCGTCCAAAGCAGCAGCCCTGCTCAAGGCCGATCTACCGAGAGAGCTAGCATTGCTTGACGTCGAGCCTTCACTACCCAAGCTGAGCACACTACCAGCAACAGGAAGCGAGTGAGTTACCTGTTTTGATTGCAGTGTGCCTTTTATTTAGCTAATAGTCTCTAGTGATGATGTGTTCAGCTCTCGAGCCTCGATCGATGCTATATTTCACTCTATCTCGAAGATTACTAGTGACGCGGTGGATGTGTTGTTAGTAGGGTTTGATGATGGGACTGTTCATCTACGGATCTTTGACTGCTTCGAGATTGGCTCTCTCCAGATTGGAGGTTCAATTGGGAATTCTGGTCCTTGCCAGATCCTCAGACATGCTTCCCATCCGCTCAGCTCGACTCACGCATTATTGGCGCTGGCGCCGGAGGCCACCTCGAGCCCTTTGCACCTCATCACCCTTGATCTTCGCTTCATCACAAGGTCAGGAAGATATCTCTCTCTCCTTGCACACAAGACAACTCAGCTCCAGAACCTGCTACGGTACATCAGTCAGGTGCAGAAGCAAATTGAGCTTGAATGGAAGAATGCACAGGAATTACCGGCACGTTACATGCGTAGTATAAACGAGGACCTGCAGGAGAAGTGCCACTGTGATTTTGTTACTGCTGCATATCACTTGGTAGTTACCGGGGATTGCTTCGAGCCATTGAGGGAGTTCTTGGTGGATATTGTTGGCGAAAGAGTACGCTTGTCGCGTTCTCTCTATGGACCGTATTCATACTAACAACATGACAGGGACACAAGAGATGGGAAAAAGCCGTTTCTAGCGGCTACGAAAATGTCCGACGGTTAACCCACGAATGCCTTCTTCCCGCCTTGGAAAGATGTGAAGTATTGCTAAGCCGGTTGATTGGACTATCCAAGTTCTATAAATTGAGTGAAGTCCTCGGCTTGGAAACATCAGATCTGACAGCAATCGTGGAGACCCTAGATTGTCTTCATCTTCTTTCCCATCACATACTGATCCACGCCAACGAGGAGTTGGCTCAATTCAATTCCTTTTCCAGATGGCTTCGTCACGAGATAGACATGCAAAGCGCGGAACCAATGTCCCAAACCTTGGAGGAGCTGATGGAGAAGACAGATATGGTTGAGTACCCGCAGACCTTGAAATACATCAGAGGCGCTCTTACCAAGAGTAAGTTGCGGAATTTCATTCAGCAACTGCCCATGATGGGAATGCCAAGGCTACCATCCACAGCTTCAGATAAGTGGGCACCGACCGGCTATGACAGGTCATTCTATGACACATTCAGGAAATTGCTCGAGCAGAGCGATGGGTCGGATGACGCCAATCCGGTTGAGCTACCCAAGATGAACGACTTGACGAAGCGTTTGGGATTGCAGTTCGAGAGAGTCTTTGGTCAGATTGCGTCAACACAGCGGCGCGGAATTCTCCACCGATCGCCTTTGAGTCTCCATCCTGACTGTGACAAAGATGTCATCGATATTGTCATGTGCAACGAGGTAAGTTGCTGCGGAAGCTTGCGTGATGATTGTTGCTTATTGGGCAACCAGGACACCGACAAGAAAGGGCTATGTGTGATCTATATTGCTACCAGGTCGATAAAGAAGAAGCATCTGCGTAAGGATCACCCAGCTGTGACACCCACTGGCATGCTGTACTAACGTTCTCAGTTTGTTTCTACCGTGTCGAATTAGACTCCGAAAATGGAGTCAGTTCCACTCGAAGCACCTCTACCGGGGCACTCGATCTCCAGGAAGGAGAAATCCGACAAGTACAGTTCGTTGAGGATGATACAATCGTAGTCCTATGGTCAAACAATAGTATGCTACGTTCTTGCGCCAGATTCGTGTTTCCTTGGTTTTGCTGACCCGCGCTGCAGATGGAACTCCTTACCTTCTCAGCCTCCCTTTCCAACCTGCATCGAGCATCAGAACAGACGCGACCACCGAGTCCCTGGTGTCTTTCGCTGTTGACTACCATAGCCTACAGGGGTCTTCATCATACGACTTCACGACATTCGCGGCGGTCGTCGACCTTCTGTCTCCAGATTCTCTATCTAGTGGCCTAATCAAACATGCCTTCGTTGGCGGCAAAGGGAAAGGAAAGCCAATAAAGGTCGATGTCAACGGCAGACGCGGTCGCCGGGCGATCTGCGTACTCTATGGTGATGCTATGCGGTATGAGGTGCTAGATCTGGATGCGGAACTGGAGGATGAGGAAGATGATGAGGTGGCAGAAAGTATCGTGGAACTGGAGGAATAAACTACACTTTTCCCACCTTGATGGGTTTTCCGTGCACAGGAATGCACCACTCAAGGATATTCTAGTTCGAAAAAGGGCACTACGTCATGTCTCAGTTGCCGGCGCCGCTAAGATACCAGACAGAATTGAAGAGAATTACCCGCCTCGATCGGCGAAAAGAAGATGAAGCCAGTCTGCCGATCAATCTTTCCAATGCACTATTTGGAAAGGTACTGGGAAGCTATAGTTTGGAACCGTGCCCAGGGGTCAGGCTGTGTCAGTGGTCGTTCCGTCGACGATCCCGCGACAAACAAGCTCGAGAGGTAGAAACAAAGAAGCCCAAAGAACCTCGATGGAACAGCCACGCGGCACTCTGAGTGGCCAGCTATAGTTAGTAGAAGGCGAGGCCACGAAAAACAACCGCCATGATTTGTGCGTTGGGGTTGACGCCCTGGGAGATGGAGCTGGTCGCCGGGGCCACAGCAGGTGGATCGAGGGCCCCTTCTGCAAGCAGCAAAATCAAAACAAGCAAACCCGAGGAGGGGAAAATTTTGGGTTGCGGGAGGGAAAAGAGCACGACGAGGGCTGAGGGAGGGGCACACCTCAGGCAGCGGGCAGTTGCAAAATACAGGTACCGTATTTCGTATTGGGTGGTAACGATCTTCAGTAGTGCAGTCATAGTGACGGGTGACGACAAGAACAAGACAGACCACCGCGAGGGGGACTGCCACGGTAGCCGGCCAAGCAAAGCCTCGGAAAAAGAAAGATTTTGATAGCGATAATGATAGCATATCCGGAAGACCCCTTTCGGCACCAACCAGGCCTGGGATTATATCCTTTTTCCTTTTTCTACCCTTGTTCGCCAATCCGGGCGGACGACTAGGCTTGCCGTCACCGACCGCTGCAGGTCACGTGTTATGACTAAGCCCCAGGATCCCGCGGGCGCTGGCCAATGAGGGGAGGGGCTTCGCAGGGCTCTGACGGGCGCTGACTGGTCGATTCGCAGTGCTCGTCCATTCTTCTGCTGGAACTGCAAATTGAAGGGAATCGCCCTCACATTATTATTGATCCCTCTCTTTCTCTCTCCCTCTCGCTTCTTCTACTCTCTCCAGTGTTTCTTTCTCCCCTCTCAACCCGAACAGCTTCAACACCATCCTGTTCACTTCCCCCCTCACCCCTGCTGTGTCTGTTTATCCGACCCTGGGGCCTTCTCTTTTCTCTGTTTTCCTTCGGTCCTGGCGTGCACCACGGCCGTCTTTTCCTCTGTCACCTCTACCCCCCCAAAGACCTGGTGCATGCCTCGTCATAATCCACAAACCCAACCTCTCCCCTTCGCCTACCTGAGATAATCTATATCCGATCCACACTACCACTCTTTTGTTGTGGGCGGCCTCTCATCTGCTGCTTCTGTCAGAACTGCTCTTTTCCCTTCCCTTTTTCATTGCTCTGGGTTCTGTTTTCCGCATACGGCAACATGAACGTCACTCAGGTTTTGGAGAGCACCCTCTCGCCAGGTACTTTGACACCCCCCGATGCTGTATACAAGCAATTTCTTTAGAACAAAGCAGCAGTATCACTAACGGGCCATTTTTGCTTCACACTATAGATGCCACGGCTCGTAGCAACGCCGAAGCGCAGTTGGCCCACGCGGCGGAGGTTGACTTCGTACGTTCTGGTCTCCTTTCCTCGCCGGTCATTGGTCTTGTATCAGACATGCTAACCATGCTTTTTTGTCGGACGGCAGGCCCAGTACCTTGTCACCCTCGCCCAGGAACTGGCAAACGAAAACTCCGCGTCCCACATCCGAACCGCTGCCGGTATCGCTTTGAAGAACGCATTCACTTTCAGAGACCTCGCAAAGCTCCAAGAGGTCCAAACAAAATGGCTACAGCAAATTACCCCAGAAATTAAGGCGCAGGTCAAGGAGCTTGGCCTCAAGACGCTTGGCTCGAAAGACGCCCGGGCCGGCCAGTCCGCCGCCCAGTTCATCGTTTCCATCGCCGCTATCGAACTTCCCCGGAATGAGTGGCCGGAGCTGATGAACATCTTGGTTCAGAATGTCGCGTCCGGTTCCGATCAACTGAAGCAGGCCTCGCTGGTCACGATCGGTTTCATCTGCGAGTCCCAGGATGCTGAGCTTCGGGAGAGCTTGGCTGCACACTCCAACGCTATCTTGACCGCCGTGGTCCAGGGTGCTCGTCGCGAAGAGCAGAACATGGACATCCGTTTCGCCGCTATCAAGGCTCTCAGTGACTCCGTCGACTTTGTGCGGTCGAACATGGAGAACGAGGGTGAGCGCAACTACATCATGCAGGTCGTGTGTGAGGCAACCCAGGCCGATGATCTTCGTGTGCAGGCGGGCGCATTCGGTTGCTTGAACCGCATCATGGGCGCGTACTACGACAAGATGCGCTTTTACATGGAGAAGGCTCTGTTTGGCCTGAGCATCATGGGTATGAAGAGCGAGGAGGAGGATGTTTCGAAGCTGGCTATCGAATTCTGGTGCACGGTCTGTGAGGAGGAGTACGCTATTGAAGATGACAACGCAGCTGTAAGTTCTTCTTTCACATGCATCGCCTGGACATTGTTGGCTAATGATGACTCAATAGGCACAAGCTGAGGGTCTCCCTGAGGTCCGCCCCTTCTTCAGTTTCGCCCGTGTCGCTTGCAGAGAAGTCGTCCCCGTTCTTCTGCAGTCCATGTGCAGACAAGATGAGGATGCTACCGAGGATGAGTACAACGTCTCTCGCGCCGCTTATCAGGCCCTCCAACTCTACGCTCAGTGTGTTCAGGGCGATGTTATCCAGCCTGTCTTGTCCTTTGTCGAAGAGAACATTCGTCACCAAGATTGGCGTCGTCGGGATGCTGCTGTCGCGGCGTTCGGCGCCATTATGGATGGTCCCGATCCCAAGGTCCTGGAGCCTCTTATCAAGCAGGCTCTGAGTGTCCTTGTCGGCATGATGCAAGACGATTCCATTCAGGTCCGTGACTCGGTCGCCTACGCTCTTGGCCGAGTCTGTGACTTCTGCTCCGAAACCCTCGACCCTGACGTGCATCTCCAACCTTTGATCACTTGCCTCTTCAACGGCTTGGCAAGCTCCCCCAAGATTGCCAGCTCCTGCTGCTGGGCCTTGATGAACGTTGCCGATCGTTTTGCCGGCGACATTGGTGCCCAGACCAACCCCCTGTCCAGACACTTTGAGGAGAGCGTCAAGTCTCTTCTTACTTTGACTGAGAGGTAAGGACCCATATAACCCCGCATTAGTCCTTTTCATCCAGACGCTAATATCGTCCAGACAAGATGCAGACAACCAGCTGCGTACTGCCGGATACGAGGTTCTCAACTCCTTTGTGACCAACGCTGCTAATGACAGCCTTCCCCTGGTGGCAAACCTGTCCAATGTCATGCTTCAGCGTCTGGAGCACACCATCCCTATGCAGCAGCAAGTTGTTAGCGTGGAAGACCGCATCACTCTGGAGGAGATGCAGACCAGTGTCACTAGCGTGGTTCTTGTAAGTTTGTCCCATCTCCAACAACCTTCAACATGTGTCTGACTGCGTAGGCCATCGTTCAACGCCTTGAGACCGAGATCAAGCCACAGGCCGATCGTATCATGCAGGTGATGCTTCAGATCCTGGCCACTGTTCCCCCCAAGTCCAGTGTCCCTGATGTCGTCTTCGCCACTGTCGGTGCCATTGCCGGTGCTCTGGAGGAGGACTTCATGAAGTACATGGACAACTTCGCACCCTTCCTGTACAAGGCCCTTCAAAACCAAGAGGAGCCGGGTCTTTGCGCTATGGCCATCGGCCTGGTGAGCGATATCTCGCGTGCTGTGAACGAGCGGGTGCAGCCCTACTGCGACTCGTTCATGAACGCCCTGCTCACCATCCTGAGGGTAAGAACTAATTTCATCTTGTCACGAAAATGTTCTGACTAACACTCCGGCAGACCTCGACCAACCAGCTGAAGCCTGCTATTCTCGAGACCTTTGGAGATATTGCCCAGGCTATCGGAACCCATTTCGGAACCTACCTGGCCGTTGTCGCTTCAGTCCTTCAGCAGGCTTCGATGGTGACTGCTAGCAACGATGTCAACACGGATATGCAAGATTACATTGTCTCGCTGCGTGAGGGTATCATGGATGCTTGGGGTGGTATTCTGCTGTCCTACAAGGGCACTCCCCAGGGTAAGTACTACTTGGGAATTTCCCGCATGAGCAACTTGCTAACACTCTCTTAGTTGACCAACTGCATCCTTTTGTGGACCAGATCTTCCAGGTCCTGCACAGCATTTCTCAGGACTTCAACCGTAGCGAGGGTCTGATGAGGGCCACCATGGGTGTTCTTGGCGATCTTGCGGATGCCTTCCCCAACGGCGAATTCGCTGCCTACTTCCGCAACGACTGGGTCACCAGTCTGGTCCGGGAGACGAGAACCAACCGGGAGTACAGCCCTCGTACCGTCGACACCGCCCGGTGGACCCGGGAGCAGGTCAAGCGTCAGATCACCATGTCCACGGCTGCTGCTATGGCGTAAACAGTGACCATGCAGTTGCTGTCCATTCTTCAGTTGCTCGTTTCGAGACCGCGCCCCTAGGAGGACTCTATCCGTTGGTGCCCTCGGGAGGTGACGGCACCGCTGCTGTTACCGTTCCCCGAGTCGACGGCCCCAGACGGGATTCCCAGCCGTGCTACTGATCACTTCCGTCCCCCAGATCACTAGGCTGCTCCCAGTGAATCAGCGGGCAGGGCTAGTGTTTCTACTCACCCCGTATATCACCACCGCCCACGACCCTTACCTGGCACCGCATATGACTCCTTTCGACCCCCGACCCCCACCCCATTCCTCGCACTATCCCCATCTCCCCCACCCCTCGGCCCTCTGTCCGGCACGAACCCTCTGCTTTCGGACCCCCTTCTCATGACATCTCTCAATGCATGTTTGCACTTTTATCCCGGCCCTTGTTTCGATCTTCTCCCTTACTATTACTATTCACTTTGCCACATCTTCGCGCCTCCCACATCAGTTTTAATTAGACAGAGGTTCTTTAGCATTATCATGTATGCCCGAGAAGTCATGTATCCAACCCTTTCAGAAACACTGTCACGAGCCCTTGACCCTGCTCCCGTATCACATCCTACCAAAAGACCTGTATAGAGATTAGTAAAAACTTGGAACAACTATACGTATGCCGAGTGATGTTCGGAAGGCACCGCTGCCATATTCCTTGATCGTAGTAACCTTGTGACCAGGCCGCCTAGGTGGCGAGATTGAATGTGGTAATTTGTATCCGTTTGGTGAGATGGAGGCTGTTGGTAATGAAGCCAATACTGGATCAAATAGCGAGGATGCTCAAACGTTCATCGCTTGTGGTAGAAACTTCTCGAAACGTATTCTGAATGAACGGCTTATCTGCAAGGCTATAAGCACATGGTAGAAGAGCTAAAGTATGGCTGAATGCCTAAGGCATGAGTAAGTGTGTCACGTGCCGATAAGGGCTAAAATCGGCAGCCCTAGCGGCCGCACAGCGCGTGAAAAGTTCTCACCGTCTATCCGCGTCCGTCTTCTCCTAACACTCGATCTTACCCCCGTCGTCGACATCCCTCGAGGTATGTATCAATCGTTGCATTGCCCTATTCTACAGCTCCCCAGCTAGTCTGGGGGAGCAATCGCCATGGAATTCTGGTTTCGGCCATGCTGGTGTAGTAACCGACCGCATTTGATCATCGGAAAACCAGGCGATACGCTTCCTCACTACGGCACGGGCTGAAGAACCCTTGATGATGCTTAGGGGCACTCTTTGCGCTCGAGGACTACTGGTGGCTGACTCTTGGACCCAACGCCTCACCACTGCCACGCGGTGGTGTGAGGACTGGGCATCGTAAATTAGATACCTCATATCCTTTGATTCCTCGATTTGAGAATCTCGATATCACACCGTCAAAATGGTCAAGACTTCCGTCCTCAACGATGCGCTCAACGCCATCAACAACGCCGAGAAGAGCGGTCGCCGCCAGGTCATGATCCGCCCTTCCTCCAAGGTCATCGTCAAGTTCCTTTCCGTCATGCAGAAGCACGGTACGTTGTCTTGCCTTGATACCTCCAGACACAATGAAAGAGAGATTCCGGGCACTTGTGGGATCGCTGGAGGAGGTGAAAATTCGGGTTGATAACTAGGCGACGGTTTCAGTCAACCAACAGCTTTCGCCCTTTAAGTGCCCGAGATATTGATGAATGTTTTACAACATGGCGGCGATCTTACAAGTTTCCGGAACCTCTCTTTCTCTGTGTCTGATTAACTTTTAAATCACCGTGACAAACCACTGACTTCCATCTCAGGTTACATTGGCGAGTTCGAGGAGGTTGACGACCACCGCTCCGGCAAGATCGTCATCCAGCTTAACGGCCGCCTCAACAAGACCGGTGTCATCAACCCCCGTTACCCCGTCCAGCTCCGTGACCTCGAGAAGTGGGCCACTCAGCTCCTTCCCTCCCGTCAGTTCGGCTACGTCGTCCTGACCACCTCCGCTGGTATCATGGACCACGAGGAGGCTCGCCGCAAGCACGTTGCCGGCAAGCTCCTCGGTTTCTTCTACTAAAAAAAGTTTCCGAATAGACTGGATAGTTCGGTGTGAGGGATGAACTCTCGTGGCTTGACGGAGTTGGATCGATACCGGCAGAGATGTTAGATAGTTATTGATCGAGTGATCTCAATGAACTGTTCAGTCAATTTCATCTTGCAGTTGCATAGATGCAGTAGATGTACTCCGTAGTGTATCTGAAAGTACTCCGTAGAGTAATCCGAGATCTGGCGGGCCGAGGTCTGACCGCCCCATGTTTCCCCGCAACACCATATCAAACACCAACGCACCAGTCTACAGTTACACCAACTCCTTGTATCCCTCAATCCTATCATACAGTTGCAACAATGCCCCTAGACACAATCTATCTCACCCGCCACGGTGTAAGTCACTTATCCCAGCTCATCCCATCCAACCCCCCCCTTCCACTTCATCACCACTAACAATATATCTTCACCCAGCACCGTCTAAACTGGACAATCGACTACAAAACCGGGACCTACCACTCCCAATTTCCCACTCCTACCGGCAACCCAGCTGACCCAACTCTAACCTCGCACGGCGTGCGCCAATCCCATGAACTCGCTGCCCATTTCACCAGCGATAAGATCTCCCCGAAGCCGTTCCGCGTCTACTGCAGTCCGTTCTATCGATGTCTCCAGACTATTCAGCCCGCTGTAGAGGCGTTGCAGAAGCAGCAACAAGAGCTATTGTATGAGCAAGCTGGAACTGATCGTAGCAATGATCCTTCCATTATCGATAAGCAGGCTGACTTGGTTGTCCGTGTTGAACCCGGATTGGGGTATGTGTTCCCCTCTTATCCCCTCCTATACATAACTAATATGAATCTACATATGATAGAGAATGGTTCGGCCCAACAACCTTCTTCCACCACCCCTCCCCCGCCCCCCTCTCC